TCCAGCAGTTCGTTTGGGGGGATCCCCAAAGAAATATCACCTGATGTGATCCCAGGCTGGACTTATGTGTGCTTGCCAGTATGGGGTCTGGCTCTGTCTGTCATCCACATCACACAACATACACACTGGTAGTTATAACTGCTGGGTCAGTTCTGTTTCCAGCCTCATCTCTTATGTAAACCGATGGATGCCACAGCCCAGCCCAACCCTGCACACCACACACTCTGTCCTCACGTACACCAGCGGGAGATGCAGCCTAGTTGGAGCAACCCACAATAACCCTCACTAGACCTGCCCCCAGCCATGGTTCCTGTGCTCCCCAGTGTGTGCAGGAGACTGGTTCAATCTGTCCCACATCCTTTTCAGCTTTCATTCGTGTCAGTGGGCCTTGAAGTCTAGCTCAATTCAGCTGACCCCACTATCCAGCCCACACTCATGCCAGTGGGTGTCACTACCTGTCTAGCCAGGCCCACCCCAAGCCCTGGTTCTCAATCTCACCAGTAGGAGTTGCAACCCATCAGAAGAGTGTCCACATTTTCTCTACTGGGCCCACTCCCAGTCCCAGATATTGCATTCTCCAGGTGGTTCTCCAGTCTAGCTTGACAGGATTTGTTTCCAGTCTCAGGACTTGCCAGCTGATGCTATAGCAAAGCCCAACCAGCCTGCTCTTCCTGCAGCTTATTCCTGTACCAGTGGATACAGTCAGTTACCCCAGCCTGGCTCTCTCCCTAACCCAGTTCACTTTTAAGCCAATAGATATCATAGCCCTGCCCAGCTTGATCTGCTCCCAATCCCAGTTCTCAAACTTGCCAGTGGGAGTAGTGGCCCAGCAGGGGAGCCCCCCACAGCCCTCCTACAGGGATCACATACCCCCACCCCAGTCTCGCACGTGGTAGTGGGTGCTACAGCCCAGTCTGGCATGGCCTGCCTCACCTTGGCATTCACCATTGGGTGCTTCAGCCTGGCCTGACCCAGTCTAGCCAGTGCCAGCTCATGCTGGTGCTACAGCCTAGCCCAGCCCAACCAGCCTCCAGTCCCATCCTTAATGTGAACTGACTGGTGTTGCAGCTTGACTCAGCCTATCCTGCACCCCATCCTGGTTCTTGGATCTGCCAGTGGGTGTTAAGAACCGGCCCAGTCTGGCCTGACCCCAGACCTGACCCTCAGTTATGCTGGCGGGTACTGTAAGCTGGTCTGGTGGGCTGCTCCCTGCCTTGGTTTCTGTGCTCACCTGCAGGGACTGAGTCATGACAAAGGCAGTCTCATCAGTCACCTTGCCCCATAAGTTTACCTTGGTCATTGAAAACACAATGGAGCCTCAGGACAGAAAGACCTGAACACAAAGGGCTGATTCTTAACTTCCCACACATGAGAAACAATGAAAATGGTGCTTCTTTAAGTTATTTCTATTTTTATGGTCTTCTGTCACTCACTGCTAACCTAATCCTAATATTAGATGTGTTCACCTTGAGATGTCTGGAACTTGAGGAGGAATACATAGTTGGAAATACTGGATATGGAATTAAGTAACAGGCCTAAGATGCAGACTATAGGTGGGTCCCTGAGAGCAAGCCCATGTGATTTTTTACCCAATAGCCTTCAGCAGCTTTATGCAAGAGCAAAATAGTTAATACACACTCAATTAAATATCTATATTCACATCTCACTTTCTAACCACAAGTTTAAGGTGACTTAGGAATCACTATTACTTGAGTCTAAAAGGTTGTCTTTAAAATGGAAGAATTATCCCAATACTTCCTTTTGCAATGACTATTTATAGGACCCATGACTATACTATAATTCAAAACCTTTCTATTGGAATAAATGATAACTAAAAACAAATCAGAGACTTAAGCGTCATACACAGTACAATGGATATAGTGGAAAATAACTGTCTATGGATAATGATGTTGATTTATGTGTACAAAAATGAAAGTTTGAACGACTGCATAGGCAACATAATTCTTTATAGACTCAAAAGTGAATGTTCACATTATATGAAAAAACCCACACACAGTATCTTGCTATATTCACTGAATGATTTATTTTATTATACAAAATATTCTATGTAAAAATCTCAAAAATTAACCCCTATTTGTCAGTGCAGCAGAATTTATTAGAAGCTACAATCTCTTCCCACGATTATTTCAGGCTGTTTCTTAACATAAAACTAGTATATAGATTAGAATAAAAGCTATACATATTAAATTTCTTATACTTCCAAATCAAAAGAAAGATAGTGTTCAACTTGTTCTGTAACTCCTGCAAGTTTGAATAAACTAGCATCTAATTTCTCAGTCTTTCAGGGTTTTACCATAAGCTTTAAAATCCAGATTACCTGGCCTCTTCTACCTATCATTAAATCAAGAATTATAAAAATATTTTAAATATAGAAGCCAAGAAACAATTTATAAAGAAAGAAGCCACATCTATCCCAGCAAGCTAATTAATTTTTGTTTAACCTCTGGTTAGGAATACGTTGTCTATTGTTCCTTCTCTCAGCACAAACTAGAAGGTAGGGGCCAGTGCACTGCCAGAATCAGGAATCAAATCCACATCTACAGGGAGAGAAGGAATCAGTTCCTTTGTGCTTTAAATCCCAGTGACTCTGGATCTCCACTGGGTCAGTCACTTGGGAACCCATCTGCTGTTCATCAAGGAGGGTCAGAACCTCAAGTGAGTTGGAAACCATTGAAAACAAATTGATAAAACATTGAGATTTGAAAATTCTTTCCTGGAAAATTGAAATCCAGAGCCAGAGGCAGGGTTAAGAAGAACATTTGTTGACAAATAAGGATAAGAAGCACAAGAGCTAGCATCTTAGTCTTGTTCTTAGTCATTGGCTGCATTTGTCTCCTCTTACATCGGAAGAATTGAACTGGGATCATTTCAGCGATCTCTTCTAGCATAGGAAGAGCACGTGGTGAGGCCAGTATTGTGACACGGTTGATAAAGCTGCAATCTGCGATATCAGCTCATGTCTTGGCTGCCCCACTTCCAAATCTAGCTCCCTGGTAATGACCTGAGAAAAACTGCTGAGGATTGCTCAAGTGTTTGGGCAATTACCGCCCACGTGGGAGATCCAGATGAAGACCCTGACTCCTGGTATCAGCCTGGCTCAGCTCTGGTCCTTGTGACCAACTGGAGAGTAATCCAGCAGTTGAAAGTTCTCTTGCACTCATTTTGCTTTCATTCTGTTTAGTAAGTAAATTAGTAAGTAAATCTTTTTTTTAAGAAAAAGTGCAAAGGATGAGGTGAGGAATTGGGTATACCAGCCAGGATGTTACTGAGGATACCAACATCCATGTTGGATTTCTTGGGTTTGAATCCCAGTCCTGCTCCTCATTCTAGCTGCCCTGGGAGGCAGCAGTGACGGCTTAAGCGCTGGAGTTCCTGCCACCCACATGGGAGACCCAGACTGAGTCCCAGGTTCCCAGATTCAGTTTTTGCAGGTATTTGGGAAATAAACCACTGGCATAATATCTTTCTCTGCCTCTTTGACTTTCAAATAAAATGAAAACAAATCTTTTTAATTGTCCATGTTGAGGATTACAAATGAATATTTTCAGTTGGAAATCGTAGCCTCCTGAATAATATGTTCCTACATATCACCTATTCCTTTTGACCTTGGTCCCCAGGGTATATTTAACTGAGATGGTTGACCGTGGATGTCTGCCACTTCTCACCCCCCTTCAGTTGATCAACTCCTTCAAGTCAACATCTACATGTGTTTTGATATTTAGAATGATGTTGTTACAAGTTTAAATGAGAAAGACTGGCATCTTAGAATATTAAAATGTTCAGTAAGGACTTCAGTGGCAAAATGGGGTATAGGAAAATGAATAAATGCATACAAAATCATGTGGTTTGTTGAAGATTATTTGGTTGTTTGGGGTCTCCTAGGATACCTAGTTGTTTTTCCATCAGCCCACACATCCTCTGCATTCCTAATAAAGTCTTCTGGGCTTTTTAAAATCCCTCTCCTCTCTCTATGACTTCACCATATCATTAAAAATCTAAAGTTATTTAGCATAATTTAATAGTATTAGCAAGATTTGTAACCGTATCCAAGGCTATAAGTTTGTTTGTTGTAACAACCCCCTGAGCAATCCAAAAGGCGCATCAAAGAAAAAAAAATACCAAGTCAAATTTTCAGTAGTTTTATTGAAAAATGCCTCTTTTGTTTCAGAAATAAATAATATAAGGCAGTGAAATTCACAATCTGCAGTTAAAATATAAAAGCAGCAATTCTATATTCATAGTCTTGCAAACATTTTCCAACTGCTTTAGATAACTAAGAAACATTATGTTCTGGAAAAAAAAAGTTCATACTAAATATACAACACAAACATGCAATTCCATCTCTGCAGAATAATCTGCAATTTGGCATAAATGTTAGTGTGTCGTTGAAGGCACTATGGATCTGTATCCAGTTGATACAATAAGCTCAGCTACAGGCCTCGGGTCTGGCTGTTAGAGGAGATGTGTAAGAGCATTCTATGCCCTGAAGTATAACAAGATACAAGAGGAAGATAAATAATCGCATTAGAGTTGATGTTTCCTTCCTTTTTGTTTTTCAAAGAGGAATTATTTGCATGGTGCTATAACTGAATTGCAAAACAAAGAAAAATGTACTGGGAAAATACAAACTGCCCTCTCAAAATCTGCAGTAGCTCTGGCCTCCAGAACCTACTGCCTAACCCAAGAGTTTCATTGAGGTGCCGGCTGTGCTAACTAAAGCACAAGGCATGTTCTCTCCTTGCAGTTTTTGTGTGAAAAAAAAATTTTTTTGCAAGTGTTTCAAGGGCAAAGGCAAAGATTTTACGGACTGCGTGCTGCGGACTAAGCTTCCTGCAGAAACAAGGTTCTCTATAGATTAATGGGGATAAAGCAAGGCCGGAAGAAACATCGCAGAAAAGATGTACAGGGCTCCATCCGACCTGTGAATGAGAATCCCTACACCACCCCGCGGCTTGCCGGCGCGACGGGCCTTCTCAGGTTCACTGGCCCGGGCCGCGGGACAGGGCGCGCCGCCAGCGCGCGTGGGCAGGATGCTCCTCCGCAGGCTCGTCGGCCCCGTAGTCCTCGTACTCCGCCGTCCGCTCGGGCTCCACCGGCACGATGAAGGGCTCGCGCTCAGGCAGGTAGGCCCCACCCTCGGGCACGTAGGGCTCTGTCCGATTCAACATTACAGTTATGGCATGATTTGGAAGGCACACACTCAACACACACACAGGGCAGAAGCTAAAAGTTGCCACCCGAGGTGGTGGCACTCCAGTCTTAATCTCTATAAATAGATAAATTACAGAGTTCTGATCGCCTCCATGTGCGGAGAGAATTTTGGTGATGATCAAATAAGAAAATGGCATTTATCATTTAAAAAAAAATTTTTTTTAAGATCCAGCAATAAAATACAATCATTGCACAAACACCTGGGAAGAGTTGAAAATTGAGCCAAAGAACTGTAAACCCAGTTACCTAGGTAGGATTTTCACAAATCACTGCCACCCCTCGCCCCAAGTAACTGTCCATGACGTCAAACTCCTCCATTCAGAGAACAACTTGGAAAGGTAAGGAGAGGCGGAGCAGACCTCCTGGCTCCCTGAATTCTCAGGGAGCCGAGGAGTCACTATGACCAGGTAAGACACAGTACATGACATTTCCTGTGGCCGCCCCTCACACAGACTGAATTCTAGCTAGCCGGTGAGGAACACCAGTGACCGCAGCAAAACGAAGAAAGTTTCCAACTTTGGCTTGAAAATTCTGGTTACAAAACCCAAATGAGATTACATGTACAAAAAAAGAAGAAGAAAGAAAAAGACGCATGCCCTGAACCAGACACAAGGCTAACAAGCAAGGGATCAGAAGATTCATTCGGTGTTATTCCGGCAAAGAGCAAGCAGCAGGCTCGGATGCAGAAGCTTGCTGTAGAAGTGTTAACTGATTTTAGCAGACAGGATCACATACAAATCTCTACAAGGCACAATTAGTTTATTATTTACAGAAGACATTTCTCTTTAACCAGGTTAATTGTTTTTCTTTGAATGGCGTCATCTCCACTGGTTAGTAGTTTTATTATGCACCTCTTTCACAACTGAGGCTCCACATGACTGTGTTTGAACTTTTTGTAAAAGTATCGTTCTACATGATTGCTGAAATGCATCAGGCTTATAAACTGACACCACTGCTTTTGTCTAGTTCAAGTTAGTCTAAAGAGTCTCCACCCTCCGTTACGATGTGGACCCAGTTCATTAACCATATCTGTGCTGAGAGTTCCATTCAGACTCATTTCCTAATAAGCACGTGCGCAAACATCTCAGAAACAGGATTTTCATGTATTCAAACTGTAAGCAGCACTGGCGACTTAGAAAATGTGTTAGCCGGAACCTGAAACAGGTCAAAGATGATAGTTTTTAAAAGTTGAATTACTATGCAATATATATATACACATCCATCTAAGTATGTATTGGTTAAAGTATATATATATATCCATATATTTTTATATATTCACATATGTAATGAGGAGACTCAAATTAATTTTTCTAAGAGTTAAATTATAATTTGCAAATGGGTTTCATGAGAAATAGAAATTAAGATTCATGATCACTTTTGATCAAATGTAATCATGCATATAAATATATAGATATATAGATATTTAGATATTCAACTATTCATGCACTATTTGCTAGTAGCAAACCATATCAAACAGCAGTACCATTTTTAAAACTTGCAAGATGCTTGAGAATGTATTAATGAAAAGGTCACTGTTGACCACAGCATGACTACCTTATCAGCATATATCCTAGGTCAACCCAGCCCACAAATTCAGGTATAATTGTCATCCACTAGAATACCATTAACGACCTTTTAAAAGAAAAAACAAAACTATTCAGCAGCAGATTTTGTGAGCTAATTCCATGCCTAGTGTGGGATAATGAATTGTTTTTCCATTGTCTGCTCTAGGTTATTAAATTGCTTATCTAAAATTAAGTTCCAAAACAATTTTTATATATATTTGAGGCATTCTACAATTGCATTTAACAAATTTCTGTTCCCAACTTTCAGGCTAATAAAAAAAATTTAATCGGTAGCACTCTGAGCTCTCAAGGCAATACTGGGAGGTTTATGATGTGATTTGGTAAATACAGCAATATGGGAAGGAACAGAAAATAATTATCAGCTTCTAAGAGCAAAACAATGTTTATGCTTTGGAAGAAAACACTATTATTATGTAACCAAAACACAGAACTGGAAGAGTTTACATCTTTAAAAAAAATCTCAAATTAGCCTTCCTTCAATCCTAGGCACTTCTCTGCCACCTTTACTTCTGGTGCAATGGAATCCTTACAAAGGCAGTGACGTACCTGGGTAGCCTTGCCCATTGTATGGGATGCTGGCACACTGGGATGAGTCACAGTATCCAGGAGGGCCCGGGGGTCCTCGGATGCCTGAGTTTCCAGGACGACCAGGGGGACCAGGCGGACCTCTAGAACCTGTGGACCCTGGAGGACCTGTCCGGGATTCTCCTTGTGGACCTGGTATGGAGTTGAGACAAATGCATTTTTTTTCTTGTTAAATGCATCATACAAGAATAACTTAACAATAATTTAAAGGACACTTCCACTGCCTCAAGGTAGCTGCTCATTCATGTATGACAAGAGAACATGTTCTAAAGCAATTCCCAAGATAAAGCTTGATGAAATTTTTTTACCATGGACTTGTCAAGAGTTAAAACCAGATATCCATTATGCAAAAACCATACATTTTTAACCATTTCATTGAGAGAAACCTGATTTAGTAAAGCTTAGGCCAAATTAAAGGTGACCATGAAGTCTCTGGTTTGCACCTACCCTCCTAGAGAGAGAAGGAAACCTGAAGGAAGTGGCCCTGTGAGGCAGCCACGCTGAATGGCCATGGGAATGTGAGAGTGCCTGCCCAGCACCTCCAGAGTATGTGCCGGAAGCAATCCTATTTCTGGATCAAGTGATACTTGGCTCTGGTTGGTATAACTGTAAAAAGTGCATCAAAGAACAATGATCATGGTTACAGAGGTCTCATGGGGAGTTTATATTAAAGGGCAGAAAAAATTATTTCAAGCCAGTAAATGCAAGGCATTAAATAACTACACTACCATGATTTTTCCCTAAAAATATCAGGAAAGAGGCCCGGCACAGTAGCATAGCCGCTAAAGTCCTCGCCTTGCAGGCACCAGGATCCCATATGGACACTGGTTTTAAGCCTGGCAGCTCCACTTCCCATCCAGCTCCCTGCTTGTGGCTTGGGAAAGCAGTCGAGGACAGCCCAAAGCCTTGAGACCCTGAACCAGCGTGGGAAACCCAGAACAGGCTCTGGGCTTCTGGCTTCAGATCAGCGCAGCTCTGGCTGTTGCAGCTACTTGGGGAATGAGTCAACAGACAGAAGATCTTCCTCTCTGTCTCTCATCCTCTGTATATCTGACTTTCCAATAAAAAATCAAATAAATCTTTTAAAAAATATATCAGGAAAAGCAGTGACTGAAATTTTGCAATGCTATAAGGCCTTTTGTTGTTTTTTTGATTTGTGTTTTTGTCTTTGTTTTTAGTCAGCTCCATATTGAAGGATTACTACAAATAACAGGAAATGTAACCATTCTCCAAAGTCTGATGCCAAACAAAACAGTTAGAAATTCCCCACCAAAGGAAACAGCTTTTGTTTCGATTTAAACAAAGAGGAAAGAGGGACTCTTTTTATCACTAAAACTCATATTTCCAAATACTAAAGTTACAGTAAATGATTAATAGAACTTATGCATTTCAAGAACAAAGAGAACATAAAACATGAGAAGCATTTCTTCTGAGCAGAGCTTGCTAAAGCATGTGCTGTGATGCCATGGATGCCTCAAACGGTCCGAATGGAACCGTGCTTCTCCTGGGGGCTGTGTGTTCTTTCGGTATGCATGGTCTATTAATGTTGCTACCTCTCTGATTACTAACAAACTCACCTGGTGGGCCAGGCGGCCCTCGAGGTCCTTGAGAACCAATACCCCTTTCACCTTTCTCTCCTGGCAAACCTAAGGAAGGCAAAAAGAAAGCACAGGGGAAAATTATCGTTTTTTATCAGTTTTCATTGTAACTGGCAACATTTCAAAGTATTTTTTTGATAATTAATTTGAAAGGCAGAGAAAAAGAAAGACAGTGGAGAAAGAACGCACTGCAATCATTGCTTCACTCCTTAAAAGTCCACAGTGGTTATGGATTGGCTAGAACCAAAACTGGGAATAAGGAGCCATGTGGGTGGCAAGAACCAAATTACTTGAACCGTAACTGTTGCCTCCCAGGGACTATGTTGGCAGCAAGCTGGTGTCAGAAATCAGTGCTGGGAATCGAACACAGACAATCCAAGATGCTGATGTCAGCATCTTAACCACTAGGTCAACCACCCACTCCTTATCTGATAAGACTTGATTCAGGTCATTCCTTTTCCTAGTGGGAGAACATAATTTTTCACAGAAGTTCACTCCATCAGCCAAATTCTTCCTAGACATTTGTGTAATTCCAAACTCGTAGCCAAGAAGTAAATCTGGCTACAGTTCAGGAGGAAAAAATAATTTTAAGGAAACATGTCTAATACATTTTTTACAATAGCAATTAAGGAAAAAAAATCTTGAGTAAATACTTAAATCTTACTGAGGCAAAAAAAAATCTATCCTGTGTCAAGTAGCCCTATTAGTATAGCTTCCAAAACATTAGAACTATAGCAATAGCTAAGATTTGTCTAAACTGTTAGCTACTTCTTTGACAAAAGGGACTACTAGAATCCAAAACATCCGGAAACAAATAATCGTATTTTTTCCTTTTCCTTCTGTTGCACTTATCTACCATGAAATCAAAATCAATCAAAAATAGGAGATCAGTGCCAAGCCCTGAAAAATGGAACCAAAAAAAATTTGAATCTAAAACTGTAAAACTGTATAAACATATTCAGTTCCTGCTCAGCTCTTGGCACAGTCCTATCAATCAATAGAATTTTGATCCTTGATTAATTTGCTAACATACAGGTTTTTTTTTCATTAACAACAGCAATGCATCAGAAAATAGCATTATCATTACTGAGGTCTCCTGACAGAAGCACATTGTTTTCTAAGATACAATCTCTGTGGCCTGCAAATTATCTACAAATGAAGCCAAGTTCATGAACAGACAGCCTTTCCCAGACTGCTCACACAAGACTATAAACGTAGTTTGGCAAGTTCAATCTCAAACTTGTTTTCTATTGCATCTGACTCCTGTACTTGCAAACTCTTGCCTTTATCTCCATAACACAGCCAGAATTGCCTACCTCGTTCACCAGGGGGTCCCTGCATCCCCGGGGTGCCAGGGAAGCCTGGCCGGCCCCCAGGCCCGGGTTCTCCCCTGGCGCCAGCACTGCCAGGAGGGCCAGGAGGACCTGGTGGGCCTGGTTGGTTGCGATTGGAGTGGTAATCATTTGGAATCTGATTCAACATCTGATTGAATCTGCTCATCTGACCTACAAACAGAGAAAAAGACTTGTTAGTAAGAAATATAGTGAGAAAGGGAGGAGAGACCAAAACTTATTCCATTTATCCTCACTCTCAGAAATATTCTAATGGAAATCCTAAAAGCGGAAATATGACACTATAGTTACTAATTGCAAAATAATCCCTCTATTTCCCAAAAACGCTGACCTATAAGCCACATACTTTATATTGAATGTGACAGTTCATTAAAGGTTAATGAGGCTTTGAAATCAACCATTGAGACATGACAGATAATGTCACTCGAAGAGAAGCTTGTTTAAATTAAGAAGTGATATCATTTTTTGTGTGTGCCCAAAGTTTGGATAGTAAAGTTCAGAATTCTTTATTGGGACCCAGGAACCCTCATTTCTAACAATCAGTATAGATAGTTTACCATTTATCATTTGTTCACAGACTTGTCTTGCAACTGCTCTCATCATGTTCTGGGAAGCGATGTCTCCCTTGTCAATTAAATCAACAAGAAAAAATTAGTATTTTATGTCCATAGTTTAAAACATCAAGGTTTAACACACAAAATACATGTAACCTAAATTTTAACAACTACATACCCTATCACCTTTCTCTCCTTTCAACCCAGATGGACCCTGAAATAAAGGGAAAAAAGTTAGAAGCTGACACACTTGGCGTAGAATGATGCAAGAATGGGCAGGAAAAAGAGAACAACTTCTGACATCTAATAACTTGGGTAAAAAGGCAGATAGCAAAGAGATGGCAGGGTTGCCAACCTCTCCTTACAGCTCCTGTGCCACAGTCCTGCCTGCCTCATCCAGATCTGCCCCTGCAGCTCTTTGCAAACAGCACAGAGCCATAACTTCTGTGAACACACCTCTCAGAACTAGCAGCAACTAAAAAGAACCAAGATGGCTTCCAGCTTCATCCCCTGATGAATTAGACCAAGTTTAAAAATAAAACCAGCCACAGCTGACATCCCATCCTGCACCTGACACTATGACAATGCCAAAATTTCCAGAGGAAGGCAAAAAAATACATGGCACTCAAACTCCACCTAAACTCTGCCCATACAAATATTCAAATAAATCCCACCACAGATGCCACACCTATGCCTCCAAATAGTACAAAAGGATATCCACAAACCTCACTGAATTTAGCTCACTGTTGAGTATATACAGATGCTTTGCCTAAGTAACTCTGGCGTCTCCACTGGCCTTTACTGACATGTTGGCCTAGAGTTCTTGCCTGGTTTGGAAATTAGAACTCAACCTAGCCACCCTGTGACAAAATGACACATTATGCTTATATCTGCATTATTCTCATTTTGTTTCTAATGAAAAGAAATTTCTTTCTCTCTCCTTCTCTGTCTCCCTTCTCCCCTTCCTCTGAAAAGCATATGTCCTCCAAAATCATGCCTTGAGTTCAAATGTGAATTTTTCAGTTACTGTTGTAAAAGTTTCAAGACACTACAAATTTTACAGTGCCATTCAATATATAGGATTGTAACTGAAATAAATATGCCTGTGTAACAATCTTGCTTTGCTTTAAATCACATGATTAGTTAGCACAGTTCCTCATCGTGGAATGTTCCTGAGATTAATCTCCACTTAGTTTCATTAGGAGCCAACTCTCCAGCCAGTTATGTGTCCCTAACTTCTTCCAGTGATTCTTCATGCATTGAGTAGAAAAGGGAACTGGGTATCTCCCTTATTAAGTAACTCAGTACAAATATCCAAAGAGCCAGAGAATATCTGTCCTTATTTTGTAAGAGGGGTGCCACTAGCTAAGAGAGAGCTTGAAAAAGGTTTTCTCTAAAGTACAGCCAAGTTTTTCTTATAGTAACAAATTTTCAGGCTACCAATTATATCACACAAGTGCATACAAACCATTGACAAATATGATGTTCAGATAATGTACCAAACAGAGGCCACTTCTTACCATCTCCATAGAAACCAGCGTAATCCAAACTAAGACTCTTGATCAAACTATCCCAGCATCTTCCTAACTGGTATTCTTGCTTTTTGATTGGCCCCTTTAGTCTATTTTCTACAAATAAATCAGGAAGATACTTCCAAAGCAAAGTTAAGCCATGTCATTTCTTAGACTCCAAAAGCTTCCCGTTGCAACTGGAATAAGATAAATCTTCCTTTCTCTGGGCTAGATGATCCACACAGTCACCTCTTCCCCACTCTCTGACCTGAGCTCTTACGTCTTTATCCTTAACTTCCTTCATTTCTGGCAATCTTGCCTCTTGAATGTTCCCTTCACATGGAAAACTTGAGTGCTCACTCAAGCCTTTCATTCTTGTTGTTCTCTCTGTCTGGAACCATCTTCTCACAGATAACAGTCTACACTCTGCATCATCCTAGCGTCATCTCCTCAGAGACCTCCTCAGTACCAAAGCTAAAATAGCTACCTTGCTGCCACATCACTGTCATTCTCACCTCTCACTTCATTTCTCAATTACATCATGCCACTCACAATCACTGAAAGCTATAGTATTTATTTCCATAGTTTTTGTGTTAGTCTTTCCAAAATCTATGGAGACATAGACTTTGCCTTGCTTCCTATTGCATCAAATGACCTTAGAACACTAGTTAGCATTCATTTTAGGCACTCAGCAAACATATGTTGATTAAATGATTAATATGTTCTACAAGCAATTCTTGGAAACAGCCAACTACACAACACCAGGTACTAGAAGAAATGAAGAATGTATCCACTGGTTACAGCAGCTAATGCTGTAAGCGAATAGTGATTGAGCCAAGCTGTCTGCTAATTTTGGTTTTAAGAGAACACCACTCTACTATTTTTGGTTTTAGAAGAAGATAAGACAAGATAAGATAGAGGGGGGAAATTTTCCACTTTAGAAGGATGAGGAAGATTAAAGGAAAAAAGAAGTAGGAGATAAGGGCCAGATAAATGTATAAAAAATTATAATTATCACAGGAAAAACTAGAGTTTGGTTATCCCTAGGTTGAAAGTATTCATTTTTTTCTAGAAAAACAGATTAACTTTGGAACATGTTGAAAATAGTAGGGATTTTTTTAAAATTTACTGCTATTTTGAGATTGTTCTGAAATTTATTGGCATCCTGAGATTGTCTTATCTTGTGTTTTGAGGAATTCATCTTTACTGCCAGTATTTAGAGATCGTTTTGAAAGTATTGCAGCAGACATTTCTTTAAGCTTATGGTTCCCGCCATCAGTTCCATCAGTAATATTCACACATAGGACACTATCAAAGTCATAGTAAAATGGAGTTTTGAACAAGTAGAAATGCTCCTGCAAAGTTTTTGCCATGATCCGTTGAAGCAAAGACAATAATGAATCATGCAGCATATTGGAGTCTATCAAGAATCCTTCCATTCTGGCTACTTGCTTAGCTTGACACTGACATAGAAAACTGCCTATGCTACAGAAATGTGCTGTTTTAAATTTATATGGCAATAAAATTATTCCACTTAGGTTTATGTAACTTGAATAATACTGACAACAAAAGTTCTGCAGAGACAGATTAGCTTGGATAATAATGTGTCACTGCTAATAGCTGAACTTTAATTATTTTTAAGAAAATCTTTCTATTTCAGAAATATATTTTCAGATCCAAAAAAAAACTACCTAAATAAAGTCACATGTCACTCATGCACAAAAACAAACCATGTGAAGAATACAAAGCCCAACAGCCATCACAAATTCTTACAAATGAATACGTTACAAACTTCAAATTCAGATTTGGGGATGATAATTTTTAAAAATCAGATATGTGTAATACTATCTCAACTGTGATTTTAACTAAAATATCTAAGAGAACATTAAATTAAATGTCAATTGGGGCAAAAATGACCAGTTAAAATTAAAGCTAATAAGTCTTTTAACTGTGGGACTAATGCTCTAGTATCCTCCATTACAAAGAATAAACAGCACAGCTGGATGACACTGCCCAAGGATTAACATTACCAAACTAAGGATGGAGGCTCCAAGCACATCATCACTTACTTTTCAGACTTAAACAGCATACCACTCCAAATAGAAAAGAATCGTTTTGCTGACCCAGCTCTGAGTGTTTATACAGTGCAGAAATATGCGTCTTGGCTCCTAGTCCCATTCTCCTTTTAAAGAACCCCAATGACCACAATTTTCATCACAGGATTTTATAGCAATACAAAGAAAACTTTAGAACTGCTACCAAGTCAAATCCCGAGGTTTAGCACAGTTTCAACAAATACTTCAAACACATTGCAACAGAGATAATCCCCTGCCAAATGCTTGCAGTTCTCATTATTTATATGTGCAGCAAAATCACTGTAGGAAGAGCAAGGGCAGTCCACTTACTGGTCGTCCATGGTCGCCAGGTTTTCCTGGTTTCCCACTCGGTCCTGTGACTCCTGGAGAGCCTGGGCTTCCCTGCAACACAGAGGCCAAGAAAGGGAATGTTATGACAAGGGGAAAATCCCATCTAAAGTAAACTCATGAAGCATGGCCACTTTTGAAAGCTTTTAAATTAACAAAACAAAATTGTAACTTAAGGGAGAGTAAAAGGCAAATTTTAAGATATCATAAAGAAAAAGTTTTGAAAATTCTAGTCTAACCTTTAGGAACTACACAGTTCTGAAATACATTTTTGAGACTGATTGAAAATACACACATGTAGAAAAGCAGCTTTATATTTTATAGAGCAGAGCCCAAGAAAATTCATCCCAAAGCAGATATTCAGAAAGCAATTCCTAATTCACATATTTTAGCTTATTTCTGTTACAAAACTTGAAAATTTTTCAAAAATGGGGAATGAAAGCTTGCGCTGAGGAGGACTAAAGAAGGTGGCTGATTTTGCATCAAGTTTGACACCAAAGAAACCTGATTAAACATAAAAACTATATTTGAACACATCTCTGGTTTTCTCCAGCATATTCTGATTTAAGAAAACAAAAGCAGCTCCTCAACAGGATATAAGCCACTACACAGATAGCTGTGCTTAAAGAAAGGCACCTGCTCTTTGGGGATATGGAGTGAGATTGAGAGAGACAAAAAATACATTCCCTTCTTACCGGTGGCCCAGGTGGACCTCGGGGTCCCATAGCACCATCTTTTCCAGTGAAGCCCTGTTGTAAAAATGCAAGAAAAGTGAAGCTACATAGGATGCTGAGCATAGAGAGTAAAGAGGATTTACATCATCGTGTTTACTTTTTGGCAGGTCGACTTTCAATATAAAGACAAAATATATCCCCTCCAAATTCTTTTAATTTAACTTATGTCTTTTACTAACAAATTCCTGTTTTCATTCATTCATAGAGTTAAAAAAAAAAACTACATTATTCTTCTCCGAAGAAGGCAGATTCCTTTTTATGGAGATTACAAATTTTGCTTTTGAAAGAGTATCCAGAAGTCTAAGAGAAGACAGACCCCTTGTAATGAAAAAAAAAAAATCAATGTTCACAGACCGGTTCAGGAAGAATCAAAAAGGGACAGAAGGAATGATGCTGAGGCAGGCAAGTGGTATCTATGAGATGTAAGAGAGCCAAGCCACCTGATTCTAGAACTTTGTCCCTGTCCTGAGCAGCCATCAGACAGCTGGGCTATGAGTACTTGTTTCCACAGCTGGTAAATTACTCTGCCCCTTAACTCCCCACACATACACCTTCCCCGCCAAGAAAGAAGCAAAACTGAAGAGACAGGAAATCTTCAATCCTCGTAATAAGCGGTTGAATTTGTTAGTAGCATGTCTCTGCTTATCTCTTGCAACAGCCAGAACTGTGTCTGAGCTAGCTGACGAGGAAGGGAGACAGGGTTCATCTCCCACAGGCCCACAATTTTGGCTCATGTGCCTGCATCAGTTTGTTTTTTCTCTGTGTGTGCTCTGCCAAATGACCTCTGCCTGGGATGAGTCACCCTGCTCCCCAGTTTGCGTTCCTTCCCAACAGTAGATCTCTGAAATCCGGTGAAGGATTTCTGAATCAGATTATGGTGTTTTTTTTTTTTTTTTGGTTGTTCCTTTCCTCTGTCACAAGAGATTTTTGTCTCATTGTCTTCAGAGAATAAGAGTGATCATTTCACCTACATTCTTGGGTTCTAGCAAGAATTCGGATCATTTGGATCCCTGCTGGCATTAGGTCTCCACAGATCTTATTGCTTCATTGATTTTTACAATAGAAGTTGAAATTAATTCTTTTTAAAGCATGTTAGAAATATTCCACTTCCCTCCCAAAAAACAACTTCTCAGAAACTTACAGGTATAAGATTTCAGACTGTTTCCTGAAAGATCTAGGCCAGCTTAACAAAAAACAGACCTCATGCCCATCTGATGTAACATCAACATTCTGAGAGCCACTTAAGAAGCAGAAATGCTCCAGGAGTTTGGCTTGGACAGTTTGAATGGAATTACTTCCATATAAATTTCTCCAACTGCTATATGATACACTCTTTTTCACATTTTTCAGATAAGGGTGTATTTCTTAATAATCTTCCTTCATTCAGCCTAGGAACTAGGAACTTCCTGATCAACCTTTTTTTTTTTTTAGGAAAACATACTCACTTTCAGACAAGACTGGTTTTATGCCAATGCTACCCATATGCCATCTGCACAATGTGGTATGAACTTTTTTATTCTAGGATTCACTGTTTGCTGCGAAGCTTTAGTGATTGTTGTCACTTCTGCACACCTGAGGATGGCATAGAATAACTGCAATGCTGCAGCAATTATTGCTTTGTCAACCAACATGTCAGATACAGTTGTATTGGATAACTGGACGTGCTCTTCTCCTATTTGAGCTCCCAACGCTATGTCTGATTCTTAAACTCATCTGTGCTGTAGATAATTCATGCATCCTGTTGCTGTCTACTCCTTCCTAGTAACAAGGCACTAGTCTCCTCCACAGTCTTATGTTTTTTTCTCTTCACTTCCACCTCTGAGTACAGGCTGCTATTTTTTCCCAGTATGAGATCCCAATAACGTTCCTGTAATGTTCCATAATTGTGCAACTCCCACTAACTCTGCACCCGACTTTAAACATGCATGATACTTTTGTCAGTAGTAGAGAGGAGTATAGATTGTAAAAGAAAGAGAATGATTTCTTGAAAAGTCTCCTTGCCCTTATTCCAACAGAACTGGGTGGCCTCACCACAAAGTTGGACACAGATTAGAGTTTGCAAGTGGAAAAGCACAGACCCTCCCAATCCTTCACTTTTCAGGACTGCAGCGACAGTGGTGATGTGGCTGCCTGACCACTAATTCAGAGAGACCTCGTTGATGCTGATGAGAAGTGCCCTCAGTTTCTCACTATCTCAAGAATTTCATGTGCACAAGATGTCAGTAGATGCAGCAATGTGTCATCATTTCCCAGTTGCAATATTTTGGGGTATGTTTTCTAATTGGATTTGTCACTTTTGTACCTTCATAGTTGCAATTTATTGTAAAGTAAGAGTTGAGAAAATATGAAAGTATAGTTTCAAAAGAGACAGAAGAATGTATATATCTGTACCACCTCCAGGTCGCAGATCCCAGAGAACAGTTTTTTTCTTTGCCCTTTCTCTCATGCTCCCTCCTCCAAATTAAAAAAAATGGCATGGAAGCAAATAAAGCCTAGCATCATATCACTCACCATTTATTGTTATTTGGAGAGGCATTTGCTCCATCTGAAAACCTATCTTTCTGACCAGGTGGTGACTTTGAGGTGTTGAGGTTAGCAAATCAACATATGCAGGGACAGTGGTCACAGAGCTGTCCCCATCAGATCCCACTGATAGTCACACACTTGACTTTTTGGATTAACCAGAATGCGGGTTAGTCATGGTCTTGCGTCTGGAGCACACAATACCAAAAAGTCATTTGCTACTTTATGTTGGCCCACTCTAAAGTCTCTGGAGTCTTATTCATCATCTCCTATGCAATCAAAAGTGTCTGTAAAATTGCAGGACTCAGCATAGAGGCTATGTTTACTGGGTTTCTCATTTACCTGTCCTAGGAAACCTGAGTTTCCTACAATTATATTGTTTTCATCCAGAATCAAGAGAAAATCTGAAAAGTATCAGAATGGGTAAAATCCTTCCTAAATTCTAGCTGCCTACTATATCATGAAGCCAGAGTGATACCTGAATTCCACTGATGTAAAGAGGAGGAAAGATAAACTTCATAGAGATTGTCTTACAAATCAAATACTTTCAGAATTATGTAAAAGAGACTTGTAACAAAGGTTTTGATTTCAGGATTTAAAACATTGTGCCAATACTCTCAACTATATTTTTAATTTGTTAAAATTCCTTTGCTGGTCTTCTTTTGCTGAATATAACAAGATAGATGTTTTTAACCAAACTTAAAATTCTAAGGATTACCCTAAAGTGGCATCATTTTGATTCCTACACCTTGAGAGAGAACTGATATTGAAAGATCCTCTGGCACTAACTTTGCAGTCACCCAAAAATGTACAATTCCACATCTCTAGCCATGCAAACTGTATTGTGGAAGTTCCTTAATGTGCAAGAAATGGTTTCATATTGTTCACCACATCACTGCAGCCTGCCCAAGAGAACTTACTCTGTCTCCTGGAGGTCCCATTGGTCCTGGCGGGCCTGGTAACCCTGGTGTTCCCTAGCACAAAGAAAATAAGCAAGTGAAACACTGCATTTCCTATACAGGAAAGAATCTTTATTATTCCCCTAACATTGTTTTTTTCTTTTGTTTTGTTTTTAAATAAAGTCCCAGTGGCTCTTGCAAAGAAAAACGCAGAAAACCACAACCAAGCACATTGTCAGATATGGAGCAGTTGGCCAGTTGGCAGAGAGCTGAAATGGACAGCAATCTAAGACAGATGAAAAGAAGGGCAGCTTCAAGGACAACTCACTGCTCGGCCTGGAAGTCCCGGTTCTCCAGCATCCCCTTTCATCCCTTGGCGACCCTGGAGTAAGCAATGGGGACACAGCGCTCAGGCGTTTTTCAGAGATTAAGGGGGAAAGGGGACAAAGGGGTCACTTATGAAACCATCAGCAGCTCATAAATCAGAGGCAGAGCTTCAGAGATAAGCACACAAGGGAAATGAATAAACCATAGCTTGGAATGGTGATCTAAAGCTACAACTGGGTTAGAATCATTTCCACTTGCAAGGTAATGGGATAGCTATAGATAGGATAACATATTCACTTTAAAAGAGTGTAGTTTAACATAGAGATATATGCATTTCTTATAAGAACAGTTTTTTAAGGATCCAGTGAGTCCCTACAAAGTTATGTAGGATTTTAAATATGATCTGTATATTTGAAATAACAGTCATCATAATACTTCATCTCAATGACAAACGCTGTTGAATTCTAGGAAAACTTTTGAGTGCCACTAGTATTACTGAGTACAGAATGCTTTGTGCTTACTTGTTCTCCTGGAATGGAGAGGCCATTGGGTCCCTGAGGGCCTGGAGGACCCTGAGGGCCGGGAGGACCAGTATCACCACGAGGACCAGGGGGTCCCTAAAATATACAACAGAGAGACACCCACAAAACGATGGGATGCTGTCCACTGCTGACATAGCATCAGAAACATGTTGCATAATGCTTATAAATACCTTTGAAAATCTATACACCACAAATGTACTTACTAATGCAATTTTTTGCTTCTAAAAGGACAATTGGAAAGTACAATAAGTTTATAAGAACACGCTTGAATTTCACATAAAAGTCCTCCTAGAAGTAGATTTTCACCTAAAATACATTAAATATGATACATGCATATATTTATAATGATAGGTTTACTTGCGATCACAGCCAAAATTTTACTGGATTTATTTTACATCAGTCCTGACTTCTCTCAGACTAGGCTCATTTCTGGAATGAAGTATAAATAAACCAAGCAAATCAAGAACAGATATCCCTGGACCAGATTTCTGTGCTGGAGCTCCTTTGCAATTCAGCTAGGTAGGAATGACACAAACTTGGACACACCTGGGTTAACATCCCATTCTCACCCGTTTCAAACTGTGTTAGCTTATCACTATTAAGCTACACATTATGTTCATGAAATTATCTTGTGAGAAGTTTGAGTTGTGTTATGGGATATTACTATGGAACTGGCAGAGATCAGCAACCACCTAGTGAATGTATTTGTGACCACTCAGCTATTTTTCTGAGACCAGTGAAAACATGTGCACCATAAAACTACTCCCAAACTGGTCCAGACTGGTCCTATCAGGACTCTGCTGCCTATAGGGTCTTCTAACTGATAGCAAGAACACCCTGCAAATAAGTCCTTCAAGGTTCTTCTGAAGATTCCCTGTGTATGCACTATAGCTGTGAGATGCATCACATGCATTTCCAGTCTCATCTGATATTTTGACATTCAAAGACAAGACAGAGGCAATTATGTTTCCAGAGCCACATTATGAACTAACTCGCCCTAGTCCACACACTCCCTTAGTGGAAATATGAACAACCAGACTTCAGTGCATAGAAGAAATTCTATTGCACTCTAAAATCTACTTACAATTGCTCCATTGAGACCTCTTTCACCTCTTGGCCCCTTAGCACCAGGTCCTCCCTAAAAGGTACAATGAGAGTACAACTGAGTGTGACTGAAAGGAAATTAGAAAGGAGTTGGCAAGCAAAAATTACTTTAAGGAGTGAATTTTCCAATTATTATCTTTACAGCTACTTGCAAAGTATGAAATGTTTCACATCACACAGGTAAGTGAGGAAAGAGAATTTTTAAATTTGTATATTCTAAGTGTCCTATTTTTATGTTCTGGAACTTACTGTTAACAAAATTTCACCTTATATAAATATGAAATAATTTTTTAGAAAGAATCATATCTGAACTGCAATGACTGGTCTCTCTGCATTAATATCAGGTAAATACATAAGTATTGATGAGAATTGTGTAATTATTATGCATTTTCCTATGACCCTGAAAAATCAGATATGTTATATTAATTTTTTTAAAGTAAAAACATTTGAAGTTTATAGGCAAAAGTAAACATTAAAGATGCTTGAGTACAGTTGAAGAAAAGGGGTTTAGGAATTATACAAATTTTAGTCTTCAGGGGAAATAATGTCTCAGACTTTAATAAAGTGTGTTTAAGTAACCAGGACTGAGAAACCATTAGACAAAGATGAAATAAATACAAAAGTGGCATCTAATACTATCACGCAACTAAAGGAAAAAAAAAAACCCAGCCTTTCAAAAACACCCATGTCACATCCAGAATATAGTTTTATGATTATAAATATACAATAGATAAATTACTTACAACTAAAAAATAAATGATAGTGAATTTACATGCTTTTTATGAGAACTAAGTATACAATTAAACTGAAACCAATTTACACTATTTGCCATGGCTCAAGTATAGTAGAATTTTGTATCCTGGGCATTCTAGAGCTGTTGCCGTATTATCTATTTTCTTCAAGAAATCAACAGAGCTAACGCATGCATTCCTCAAAACAACTCAGGTTCGGATGTTGAATCGAGTAAATCAAGGGGTTTCACACTAATCAAAGTGACCTATCTGCGATCTTCAACGTTCAGGATATCATAGTAATTGTGAAAGTCCCTCTTCATATGTTATTCTCATGATTTGTTTGCTATGTAAAGCACACATGTTCTAGACCCAATGCAAGTAGTTCTTAGGTCAACCTCTCAACCATGGCTATATACCATAGATGGAAAAGCCTTCAGAGGCTAGGCATTCAGCCTAGTGTTGAATTTCCAGTTAGGCTGTTCATGTTTCCTATAAGAGTACCCGGGATTGAGACACAGCTCCACTTACAGAATCCAGCCATGTATTCTGGGAAAGGGTAAAAATGAATTAAGAAATTGGGTTCCTGTTTGCCACATGGTAGATACAGGTTGAGTTCCTGTATCCCAGTTTCATCTTGAACCTGGCCCTTTGGGAAATGAACTAGCAAATGAAAGCATGTTCTCAAATAAATAATTTTTAAGAAAGTTTTCAGGAAATGCAACACATTTAGAAGGTCATAACAGGTGGAAATGAAATTTTACATATTTAAGAGAGAAATTCTTGAAGGCTAGCCAGTATCATCATACAGCTAGAGAAAGGTGTTAAACAGGAGTCAATTTTTCTTCCTGCTTTATTCCATTTCAAATCTCTAGAAAGACTGCAAACATGGTCTACAATTTAATTTTCTTTCTCCTACAAAATACTGGTGATGGAAGCATTTTATGGATTCCATACTGACAAACAGATGATAACTTCAAAAATTATAATAGAAAAATCCGAGAGAGAGAGAGAGAGAGTTTGTTTCCTTACTGCAGGGCCTGGAGGTCCTGGAGGTCCAACGCTGTCCTGTGTGCAGGTGCAAGCATTTGGAAGAGCAGGGCATTTTGCTTCATCTCTCTGAAATTTTGGAAAGAAAATTGACCTATGAATTTAGATGGAAAAAATAATTTCTCATCTCACCTCTAATTATAGTCTCATTATTGTTATAAATACATCTATGCTGAAGTTTGCTTTACTCTTTTATACCTTTATTTTATGCCTACTTTAGGAAGCAAGAGCTATTCACAAGAACTCTGAATCAGTATTAATTTAATCTAACTTTTTCAAAATCAGCACGAGAGAAATGTGTATTTCAAATACAGACTCCCATTTCATTCCCAAATCATGTCCAAAATCCTTTCCAAAATTTACAATCACCTACTTGTTCTGCAAAGAGAACCCTGCCTTCCTGCCCCTCTCATTGTTAACACTTTCTCCTTCACTTTCTCTTCCAATGCCACTGATTTGCTTCATGTTTCTCACGTAATTAGAGCCCGTTGTGAACCTAGGATGTTGATTTGAACAGTTCTCTCCATCTGGAATGCTCATCCTCCACTACCACATTTGCTGCTTCAATTCATTCAGGTCTCTGTTAAAGTTTCGCCTTATCACCGAAATCTAATGATGTGTGCTATCACCTCCTAACCCTTCATTCTGTATTGAATCCCAGGGCTCTCACTCTGTAATCTAATACAAACATCCCTCTGATTGTGCAGGAGAAATGAGGACTTCTGTGGACAACAAATCCAGGCACTCAATTCCCTTAAAGAGCATGTTACCTATGCACACCATCTAATATACCGTAAATCACCTCTACACTACTTATAACAGCTAATACTTAGATGTTATACTATACTGCTTAGGGAATAACAACAATGAAAAAGTCTGTACATGCTCATTACAATGTGATTTTTTTTCAAATATGTTTGATCCACAATTGGTTGAATACATGGATTCAGATTCTAGATGAAGGGCTAGTTGTACAAACACATAACTATTTGTTACATATTTCTCTCCCTTTCTATAGAATATTCACTTTATACTGCCATAACCCTAGCACACTGAAGAGTTGGTTTATAACAAGAACTCTATAAGTATCTATTGAATCAATAGCATAAATTCATCTACAGGATGTATGAGCTTCTTTCCCAGATGCTTCAAATCTATCACAATATTGAACTTTGCAACTATTACCACCTGTACAGATACCATGGGGTAAATTTGTCGTCTCAAGAAGAAATATAAAATATTTCAACCATCTAAAAGTCTTAGACTTCAGAAAGGTGATGGCTTGTTCTGCAGAATGCTTAACTTCTATAAGCAATAGGACAATTCACAGTAAACTGGTTTATCAAACACTTGGGCTCACCAGGACTTTTCCAACTGTCAGGGAAATTTTCCAAAGATAGTCTTGTGCATTCCTGGTTTGCAAGGGAAGGACTGGTCATGCGGGCCCTGGCCTGAATCATGGCTGCTGAAGAGCATGCACCCTGCCATGTTCCTTGGCTCCCACTGGACACACACTGCTGAGCACAACGCCTCTCCCAGACTAAGCACCACAGGGTCACTCCTGCGGAATGATAAATTCCACTTTACTTACCCGTGAGGGAATATCACAACATCTGTCTCTGCTGGTCCACACAGGGCTGCAGACCATGTCAAAGTTCTGGATTTGGAACTGCAAACAACCAACAATATCAACTAGAGATACATGAAATATATTTAATGTTTCTACGTTTCAATCTTTTCCAGTTTCTTATACAAATTCCCTGAAGGTTGCTACTAGTCCTTGAGATCAATGTGGCCTTTTGTGTTCAGAAGGAAAGAGTACCACAAATGAAACTAGGAGAAGCATACAACAAAGTGACAGCCATTAAGATTGTGACTCTTGGTTCACTTTCTTGGCTAGAAACAAGTGTTTGGGATTGCTTGTGTATTTTCTTTTAGAATCTTTAATTTCTACATTTAAATGAATTTGAAGACTACATATATTTAAGTCAACTACTAACAGTCTTTGTTAAAAAATTCCAGGAAAGATTCGTTTATTTATTACACAGTTCAGAAATTGTTATTTAAGGACAAACAACCTTTTAAATAGTCCTCAGTTATCTAACTACAGCATATACTTCTATTCTTCTACTGTTTAAAAACAAAGTTCTTTTGACGAAAGCAAAAAGTTGTATAAACATAGTAATTCTCTTGTGGTTATCCTACTTAAATAGTAAATGAAATAATAATAAAAATAAATAAATTCACCAGTCACAAAATTGTGGATTTTAATCATAATTATATTCAATCTGAATGACTTGTTCACATATTATGAAATCAAAACTCTGTTTTTGAATCTAGAAGAAAATCCTGTCCATGGAAACTAAAGCTAAATTAAATAAATAATGCTATTTTTTAAAATAATAGTAGAAGCCAAACAAGGTTAGCTTTGCTTTTAGGACAACATGCTTGTTGGTTGATGTATACCATAACCTGATTACCCTGGTACAGTAAATATCTCAGATTTAACTTTTTACAACAAGACAGCATTACAAATGGAGATGGCATGCTCCTGCCTCAAGCTTGAGGCAGGGAAGTTGAGAATGAGACAGTCGGCTGTCCCATCACACCAATCCTTCTGAGACAGAGTCAGTCTTCTGTGAGTGGACACAGGCTCTGCTGACTCTTATCAGCTAGTGTCTACAAATGCTTAATGATCTGATTGCACAAAACACAACCACACGGAATTCTCTGGTGCCTCAGCACCATATTTTCTTCCTAACATATTATTATGTTGTATGAGCAGCATGTTTTCTGAATATAACTTCTTCCAGTTTTAATTTAACCACAAATTTGACAATTTAAAACTAATTGCAGAACAATGTTGCTGCATTATTGAGAAAATACTGTATCAATCTTAACAGAAAGTACCAAGAAAAATAAAAACTAGTTCCTTACTGTGGCTGATTTCTTCTCCCCTTTAAGAAGTTTCCCAAGAATCTCATAACCATCAGTAGTGATATTGCCAGCTTCTTTGATGTCTTTTTCTACAATTTCATAGCAGTCAATGTAAATCTTAACACTTTTTGAAGTCACCACAATATGAACCTAAAAAAAAATAATGCTTCCATTATAAAATTTCAAAACAAAAAATATATAGCTAACTTCTGCATATTTCATACCACAAATGTTTAAAAAGTGCCTTTTAAGCCATTCTTATTTCTAAATACACAGTTTAAACTAAAACCCAAGAATCAGGTTACAGTGTCCACAAAGTGAATTAATCTGCTGAGTGAGACGAACGTTGCACTTCTCTGGGTCTCAGTTTCCTTTACCTGCATACACAGGTGTAATTTCTTGTTTTCCCATCATGTAACATAATGAGATGACTATAGATGATGTGGCAGATAAATGACCCTATAAAAACTATATATAAATGGATATAATTCAATAAAAAGGAGCCTTCATGTCTTCCACTGACCTTGCTAAATTCAATTCTTCACCTGCTTTTCCACAATTTCAACCATAAAGAACCTGCACACCATGTGGACAGCCAACATGTTAAAAATTAACATGTCTTTCATAGAGATTCATTTGGAATCGATAAAATGTAGGATTACATAGTCTTTCAATTAAATAAGGTTATGTTGATTTACTTTTTGTCTGTTACTGAAGACATCTAGAACATGGATGGATCTATTAACAGATAATTAACCAAACACCTGTATGGCAACAATGTAAAGAATGGCTGTAGGGAGGTCCTTCACAGTTACAGTTTCCAATTATCAGAGCATCAGCACTCAAGTATGCACTTGATAATAGTCTAAACAGCTTGGCAGCAAATTAAAAGGAACACAAATTCCCTTTTAAATTCTGAGTCAATACATAAAACAATTTCCAAAATTTTACTTTATAGCTATATCTTTTTCCCATATGAATCTCTACCAAAACATTAATTCAGCATGTGTATAATAGTTATGTATTGCTTTTATATAAAGTAATACATAGCTTACTAAAAATAAAGTTTACATGTCACCCAGCATAAACAACTAATGTTGAATTTGAAAACATCATATAAACACCTCCAGGATGTTTATTATCTAATAACTAAAACTATTTTATTGGCTCTTATGTGAGTAACCACAGAAGCAAACATTCACAAAGTATTTGGGAAACAACTGGATCCAGAAACATTATTTCAAATCAAAACTATTTTAATTTGTATCTGAATTTTTTTCAAGTACACTTGTCTCTCAAGGCTAACCATGAGGAAGCACATTGTAAAAGCATATTTTGCTATAATTTATTCAATCTTTTACTTTCATTTTAAATACGTGTTAGTTCATATTGGGCTTTTCATTGGTCCAAGTAATTAGAACATCCAACCTGTTTCCCAACAAACTTTGTTGTCCATAGATCACAAGAAACAAATAGGGACCCTCTTGTCATTCAAACCCCTCCTCAGGCTGTGACACATCTTAAAATGGTGTTTCTCACTTATTCTTCTTCCCTTAACAAAAATTTCTTACATAGCCACATGCCATTTGTTGACAATACAAAGGAAACATAGTTTTTCAAGAGAATTCATATGAAGCAATAACGTCTGTCATTCACTAATTACACTCCTTTAACTCTTCTCTTCTCTCCTCTCCAAAGGGTCTTCTTCTCTTAGACTACTCTTCACAATCACACCAAGGTTAAAGAACTTGAGTTCAGAAACTAGATGGTAAGTAAAAAAGTGGTTGAATTTTTGACTCAGAAATGAATATGAAAGATTTGGTAATAACTGAAGGTAGTACTTGCATTATAGTACAAATGAGAATGGATTCAAGTAATAGAGTGTGTAGTACATACTTAAAATTTGCTAAGCAACTAGGTCTTTAGAGCTTTCAATATCCACAAATCCCAACATGATAACTATTAATGTTTTGATTAACTTGGTTCTGGAAATTATTTCAAAATACATCAAAACATTACATTATACTCAAACATCTTAAATATACTGACATCTTAATAAGCTCTCTAAATAAAAAATCAGGTCAAGGAATGTGGTAACAAAAAAGAATGGCAATATAGGAAAACGGACTTTGGAAAAGCAATCTGAGAGAAGACAGAGCTTGTGGGAAAGAGGGGAAAAAGGCAATATAGGAAATCAAAGAATGAGAATTTCTCCATGGGAAGATTAACGGCATGTCAAGATAGAAAGATCAGAAATTTATCTTGGTTCATAGAAACTAGTCACCATCACTATAGATCTCTAGAACAATGCTGCCTTTTAAAATATATGTTAATTTTAATCAACACAATGTAATTATACTTATTTGTTGGGTACAGTGTGACATCTCAATACATGCATACAGAATGTAATGATCAGAGTAGGGTGACTGTACCCATCATCTCCAGTATTTATCATTTCATTGTATTGAAAATATTCAAAATCCTCTGTACCAGCCATTTTAAAATATAAAATTAAGTTTTACCACCCATAATTATTCTGCTGTGCCATGGAGCTCTGGAAGATATTCCTCCTATTGCATTGCACCTCAGTGCTGCTTGCACTAACCCCACCCCCCAGGCTCTGGAAACCCCTATGGTACTCCCATGCTCCTTATTGTCTACTGCTATGAGGTCAACATTTTAGACTCCACCTATTAATAAGAACATGTTTTTGTTTCTCTTTGTTCCTGACTTATTTCACTTTACACAAGGTCTTCTGTCCCTCTATTTTTTGACTCAAAGTAAAGCACTCCATAAAAGTTAGAAATGTTTAAGTATCAGTTACTAAATGATTATTTAGAAGATTTTCAATATCACCAGTAGGGATTAAAAAATAAAATACTTCTCAGCAAATAACTCAATTTCAACTGAACCAAAATTAGCTCCAAAAAAAAAAAAAAAAACTTTGCCAGATTCAACATCTATTATTGGATAAAGACTCTCTGAACCAGTTACAGTCAGCAAACTAGAACATGCACTCCTAACAAGACATTTATTTCACTGCACTTCATAAAAGTTTTTATGTAGATAAAGTATCTAAGAAGATAAGTCCAAATGTCATGGAAAATTGAAATGAAAGATAGTTCATTTGCTGTAATACTTCATTTTGAAACTTATATGTAGTTTTTTCATAATATACATTTCCCATAAACTTTTTGAAGTCACTTGGTATACCATTTACTTAGATATTTTTAATTTTCATTTTTGTACATTTTTGCCAATAAGGGTATTGAAATTCCTTCAAGCTCAATGAGAATATCCCTTTATCATCCTTATCAAGAATCTGCTCCTGGCCCAGCACGATATCATAGTGGTTAAAATCCTCGCTTTGCATGCACTGGAATCCCATATGGTTGCTGGTTCTAGTCCCTGCAGTCCCGCCTCCCATCCAGCTCCCTGCTTGTGGCCTGGGAAAGCAGTCAAGGACAGCCCAAAGCCTTGGGACCCTGCACCCCTGTGGGAGACCCAGAAGAGCTCCCAGCTTCGGATTGGCTCTAGCCATTGTGGTCACTTGGGAAGTGAATCAGTAGGTGGGAAGATGTTCCTCTCTGTCTCTCCTCCTCTCTATATATCCGCCTTTCCAATAAAAATAAATAAATCTTTTTAAAAAAGGAATCTGCTCCAAAGGTAGACATTTGGCTCGGTTATCATGACCTTTTGGATGTCTTCATCCATATAGGAGTGCCTGGATTTGATTTTCCACCCTGCTTCTGACTCAGCTTGTTACTTCTATGCACCCTGAGAGGCAGCAGGTGATGGCTATTGCAAACATTTGAGAAGTGAAATGAAGAGATAGGCAATTTTCTCTCTCTCCCTCCTTCTCTTGCACTCAAATAAATCAATAATTCTTTAAAAATAAATAAAATGTAAGTAGAATATAGGTGAACAGTGTTGCTTATAATGGTTCCAATTTTTAAGACATAAGCATTTAAAACACATCAAAATGTAACACAAAAAGAAATGAAACCAAACTCTCATAGAAGAACCATCATTTTGATATTTACTGTGGCACTATTCACACCAAACAAGAAAAGGAAACAGCCTAAGTGCCCATCAACTGCTAAATGAATATAGAAAGCATGTACATAAAAAGGATTATGTCTTCTCACTTGCAACAACATGGATGGAACTAACAGTTATTAGGTGAAGTGAAATAAGCAAACACAGAAACACAATTAAAATATGTCACACACAATCAGAAAAAAAAAAAGTGGAACTCATAGATGGTTACCAGGGGCTAGGAAGGGTAAGAGGGATGCAGGCTTAGGGAGAAGTTGATTAACAAGTCTTGTGCTGCAGTTACAGGGAACAAAAGTCCCATGTTCCTTTATTGCACAGGGTGACTACACACAGTCCTATTTATCTTCTTTAGTTTAGGAAAAGGACTTTTTTAAAAAAATATTTTCACCATAAGGAACTAATAAATGTTTGCGGATATAGATCTGTTTGCGTTGAATGGAGCATTATGCATTATACACACATTTTGGTATTTACATATATCACACAGTACTCCACAAATATATACAATTTGTGTGTCTGTTCAAATACATCCAACGTTAATAATGTTTATCTCTTGATTAATATAACTACCACTTTAATTATTTATTCAAATTTATTAAATGCTATAAAATAAAATTCTATTTTAAAACTATACCTAAGATCCTACCAATTGAATATTTTAATAAATAATAAGAGGAATTTTTTTTAGTTTCTAATCCTGAGATAAGATTCAGACAATCTGACATTCTTACCTTATGAAAGCTTCCATAGAATAAGGTCTTCACTTCTTCTGTGTCAAATGTAACTGTTTGTACCTCGCCTCTTGTATCTTTGTTAAAGAATGACAATGTCTTGCTTGAAGCTGTAATCAACACAAAATTATTATTAAATTCATGATATAGTTTTATTGAAAGCATTAGCAAAATAATTCAGACAAATTTCAAAAATCACAATAATTTCATATGTGATAAAGTATAATTGTATCTGGAAAAGTCTAAATATAAAAGCATATATATTGGGTAAATATAAAAATTCAGATGGTGCGTAAAGAGAAAAGAAAAGGAAAGGAAAGGAAAAGACATTAAAACTACATTATGTAGGCCCAGCATATGCATAGCAAGCAGATAATCCCAAAAGTCAGCCAGATCTTATCCTGGTTATTCCACTTCCAACTGAGCTGCCTGTTAACAGCCTGGGAAAGAGGCACAGGATTTTGGGCTCCTCTCACTCACTCTGCAGACCTGGATGAAGCTCTGTCTGTGACTTCAGGCTGGCCGATGTTGGCTGTTGTGGTTATTTAGGGAGTCAACCAGCAGTTGCAAGATGTGTGTGTGTGTGTGTGTGTGTGTGTGTGTGTGTGTGTGTGTGTGTGTGTGTGTCCCTCTTCCGTAACTCTTTCAAAATGAATAATCTTTTAAAAGATACAAACTATAAATGAATAGGCCTTAAAGGAAGATAAAAATCCTTACGATCTGCAATCACTCCAACTTGTGGTTTGTAGTCTCTGTCTGTGATTTGCCAAATTGCAAAAGGGTCATTGGGAGTTTCTGGGAGAAGTCTGAAGAGTAGTATAATTGTGTATGAAGGAGGAAGTCCATTCGGGTGTAGATCTCTGTTAGACAAAACAAAATAAATACAAACAAATAAATAAGGATTTACCTTCAGAAACGTAAACTGTTAAACTTTTGAAGCAAAATCTTACTATGGTAATATCAGAGGCCATTAACAGTACTCTGTCTTCATATTAGGAGAAAAATTTGGAAAACATGCCAAAAGAAGAAATACAAACAGCCACTATGTAAGTAGTACTAAACTATTTATCATTTGATAAAATGGCAAAAATCTGGGTAAATTAGCAGATTTTATCTTACTTCACTATTAATCATAACAAATTTCTTAAATTAAAAGATAATAATTAGAGTGATAATCATATGCCTACAGATATTATCTAAAGAAAGCAAATCTTAAAACAAGTTACATTTCTTGGTATCTCTCCATCACTAATAGATTTAACACTTCTAGATTCCTCCCTTGAAGTCAAATAAATCATCAAAAGAAACTCACATATTACCAAAATTAAAACCAATTTTAAATGTTAAAGCCATGTACATGTGCAAATGTTTAGTGCCAATAAAGGGATATGGTTTGATTAAAATGAAAGAGTTCTGGCCCTAAGACATGATAAAAAAATATTTGGTCCCCTGTGTTCTTATACAGTCAGATCAGTCCTTGTTCTGGGGTAATCTTTGAAGCTGAATTGTTGGTTTTCTGCCTGAGACCACATAATACATTCTCCCTGAAGGTAGGAAAAAGGCCTAGATAAACAACTCTTGGCAGAAATGAAGGTGTTCCTCCTGGAATTTTGGCAGCAGGCACAAATGCCTCTGTAGGACCATGTCCTAGAACTACACCACGGGTACTTGTAAATCACACTGCTACCTGCTGTCCTCAAACATAGGCTCTAAGGAAAGTGACAGGATACATTTTACATGTTCAAGAGCTATCATTATAACATTTCATATGAAAACAATACTTTCTCCACATTAACTCATCTCTTATCTGGTTCATTTTTCTACTTCTTTAGTTAACTAGTGCTTATTAAGAATTTTGATTGTGTTGTATTTATGTTTTTCCCTTTCAGACAAAAGTTCTTTTCTTGTGAAAACCTACCATCAAAACCAGTTAAAGATATCATAAATTTTATTCATAAAACATAGTAAGTCAAAATGTGGGAATCATAACTTGAGACAGCTGAAGTTCTAGTTAGGTTCACTGGAACAACTACAGCTTTGAACCAGATTCACTAATAACAAGACAGTAGGAACTTACAATGTGGTCAAACTACAACAAAACAATCTGTACTTCTTTGAAATAAATTAGCTTTGGTTTTAATCTGAATTTTCCATTAGCTTTCCCAGAGCATTTCAAATTTCAGACATCATTTTCTAATTCTGTCCTAAGTTTCTGAAAGTTTTGTTTCTCCTTGTTCTTTTCTCTCCATTAGATGCCAAATCCATATTTTTTAACATAAAAATTTTCATTTTAATGAATAAGAAATATACATTTTTGGTTATCATATGCAGGTGCAAACTCTCATGAAATAAAATAACACCTAGAGCCACTCAACAGATGGCTACAATATTAGCCAATAAAATCTAACCTCCCTGATCATGGACAAGTGGAATTATAATGGCCTTTCATTTTCTAGAGTTCTGGACAGTTTTAAAAAAAAAGTTTGCTTTCATTCTGCATTTACTTTGTCTAGTTCTTTTTAAATGTGTGTGTGTGTGTGTGTGTGTGTGTGTGTGTGTGTGTGTGTGTTCACGTGCATGCATGGATGTGTACAGAGGGAAAAAGGGAATTGGGTAACACAAGAGAAAAAGAATGGGGCAAGAGGAGAGGAAGAGAGAATTCTCCCATTATCTAATTACTTCCCAATTTTTGAAATGGCAGGGACTGAACTAGAGCTACAGCTAGGAACCAGGGGCACACACGTACATGAGTGGCAGCAACCCAAATATCTGAGCCATTGCTGCTGCCTGCCAGGGTCTGCTTTGGCAAGAAATTGGAGTAAGGAGCATGAGCTGGGAATGGAGTCCAGGCACTCCAGCAGCCAACACTGACTTTTGCTGTAAGTGCTATGTTCAACTCCAGCTTCTCCATCCAGTCCTTCTGAACACATGGAGAAATGTCCAAAACAATATATTATCTTATTTTCACAGTCTCTGTTATTGGAATAACTATAATCCTAGCATTAAATTCAAAACAATCACTTATATGCAATTCTGGAGTACCCAGCTAAGATTCTTGACTTTGGAATAACAAAGCTTGAATCCCAGTGTCCTGCTTCCAAACTGCTCTAGAGCCTAATAGAAGACAATAACCTAACTGGATCTAAAGAACTCAACCTTTAAACCATCCATAAGAAGTCCTCTGACAGCTCTAAAGCTCTGAGGAAGTCAGCAAAGATTCTAAGCATCCCTTGCTCATGGCAAGAAAGAGTATCATTCATTGTAAACCCAAGTGTCACACTTACGCTGTAGGCTGATTCACAAAGGCATTCTTCTGAAGCCTGTAGGCTGAGTAGCTTGGGAAAGACCCTGACTCCAAAGATACGCCTTGTACAGAAGCAAAATTCTTTTCTGTCAGGTTGTATGCTTCAAGCATCTTAAAACCTTTACATCAAAAAAAATATCAGAGTGAGTAAATTATTTTATTGATCAGATCTTGAAATAAGTTAGTTCAAGGGTCAAAATGCTTACCTGGTGAGGTGTAGCCATCCAAATAAATGAGAGGGCAACCTGCAACACACAGTGTTCTTTAAGTACAGTTCACCATTGATGTACAAGCATTTTATATACCCAAGAAGTAGTGGTGCACATATTTCAGGTCAGCAAACTGTTTATTCATTTATTAGAAACTAACTTACCAATCTAACCTTTTGTAAGTTATTTCATGTAGACCACGAGAAATTACACTGTTAATCAATGTAGTAAATGTTTTTTTAATATTATCTAGTCCAGTTATAATTTTATGATGTTCTTATGAATAATAAAATATAATTACAGAGAATATTTTTCATATAACTTTCAATGGATTAAAAATTTTCTCACCCAGAGAATTCTGGATTTCAGAAAGAGTAGGAGGAGTTGATTCCTCCTGAGCATTCTTCTCTGGCAAGCTCCCAAACATTACAGACCAGGAGTAAGTATACATGTGTAAACAAGAGTAAGTCTACATGCATTATACACCCTGGACCGTGGAAGAGTTAAGGATACTGAAGAGTTAGGGATGCTAAAGGGCTACTCAAGACTACCTGGCTTAGCTAGACAACTCTAGCCCCCAACCCACATTCACCAATGCTGCTCCAACCTGTTTCCATAGGAGACCAGTGAATTTTGCTTATTTAGACTGCCTAGAACCAGAGCTCTGAGATTTAGAATAATGTTAAATGAGGGGAAATATTACACTATAAAGCAAAACCCTGCCAAAGATCAGGTTTCTTGACTGGCATACAGTTCTATTAACTAAAATCCCCAAAATTGGTACTAACGGACAACAGCTGAACAAGAGGTTTTGGCATCTAAAAAAAAAAAGCTCTAAAATCTAGCAAATGAAAACAATCTAATGTCTATGAAACACACATATACATACAAGTTGAGTCATTACTCCCTTGAAGCATAGATGCTAACAGCATAAATACCAATTGATTACTAGTACGGAAAACATTCATCTCACAGAAACACTTCTACATATGCAATTCTAAGGTAAATGTTAATTAACCCAAATATCGCAGACATTAGGGTAATGGGAAAATAGTATATAAAATAAGCTATTCCCATACAAGGACTATTACATCTTCAAGCCTAAAAATGGACCTCTGACCAGCACATATTTAGCACGATCTCAATGGAACAATGATTCATCAGCTTCTCTACTGGTTTCCCAGGATCTATTTATGCACACATGTGGTTCCACATAGGATAAAGGACTGTCCATAAATAGTTATTTTTCAAGACAACTGAAGTTATGAGTCTATGTTACTCATGACTTACTTGAAGTGGCAGTTTCACAAACAAATGTAATAAGATTGTCTTCGATCTTCTCGAAGGATTCAAAGTCATCCACAATGAACACATGTCGTTCACTTGGTTTGCTGGCAATGTTGGCAAGTTCATTGTAGTCAACATCAGCCACACCAACCACAAACACACTGAACCCTGCAAAGCAGCATTTCTAGAGTGAATCATACATCTTTTTTCCATCTTTCATGCTTAAACAGCTGAAAATAATCTTGGCAGAACTAATTCTAGGCTTTCTTAATGCATACAGCAAACATTTTTACATAAACTCTAATGAGTAACTATGGTCTTTCTAATGAATATGTAATAATTCAAGCATTGCTATTTCCCAACTTACAAAACTAAATCCATTAGACTTCTAAAATAAAACCCAAACAATTAAAACATGAATATTTTCAAAGCAGAAAGACTTTATGACACGTGCACGGTCTTTCACAGACTACAAACTTAAGTCAGCTGCTAACCTAAGAGATGCAATTATTTATAAAGATTATTGCAAAAAACAATCTCAAAGAAGACAAAAATACTTAACATTAATGATGACTCATAGATTTAGGTAATAAATCATATAGATTTTTATGCAGAAGACAATTCATGTAATGAAGCACTCTGCAATTTACTATAATAGATAACACACAGCATTCAGCTTTCTCTAACACATCTGCCTTGAATCCTGCTTGAGGCAGTGAGGGGAGAGAAGATAGTAATTTTAAGTACTGTAAATTCCTACTTTCGTCCATAGTAATCCTAAATAATCCAAAGGGTACTGCTGCCACAGAGCCACAGGGTGCTTAGTTGGCCAATCTATTTCAGAGAGGTCTTCCTGAGACCTCAATACACCCCCTTTGCAGTAATCTTTTCAGCAATCTGTATTAGATCCACATCTGCAAGGACAAGCTGAAGATTAAAGCACTTATGACTCTTCTTGTACAGGAACTAATACCAATATTCATTTCTAAAGCTAGCACTGTGGCGTGGCTGGTGAAGGACTCACCTGTGACTCCAGCATCCCATATGAGTGTCAGTCGGAGCCCCAGCTACTACTCTTCTGATCCAGCTCACTGCTAATGCACTTGGTAAGATAGTGGAAGATAGTCCAAGTTCTTAGGTCCCTGTGCCCACACAAGAGACTCAAAAGAAACTCCTGGTTCCTGATTTTGGACCAATCTGACTCTCACCATTGCAATCATTTGCTGGAAAACGAACCAACAGATAGAAGATCTCTCCCTGTTTTTCTCTCTTTCAATATCTCTCTCTTTCAATATCTCTCTCTGTTTCTCTAACTCTGTTTTTCAAATAAGTAAGTCTTTAAAAAAATCCGTTCTGCTATGACAAAAGCCTGCTCCATGATTATCCCATTATCATTGCTTCCTATACGCATCCAGTCACTGCGGGAAAAACTTGGTTTACCCCTGGACAAACCGGCAATCACATCTTCTATAAAGAATATACTACATCATTTTTGAGCAATGATTAGGAGCTTCTATATTTAAACCTAAATTAATATTTCAAGGGTATGGAGTAAAGAGTAGAATAGAAACAACAAAGTAAAATCCACAACTTTGGACTTTATCAACCATCCCTGTAACTGCAATCCAATTTGCACCCTTGCCTACCTGACTGCTGGATGATAAAAGCCGCCTTCTTGACTTCATCCTGCGACCGACCATCTGTGACCACAACCAATACCTTGGGGACATTCTTCCTCATGCCACTCTCCCAGGTCAAGACCTTCTCCTTGATAAATGTGAGAGCCTTGCCTACAGAGACAGAGCATGACAAGGAATTTTTTAGTGTCTCCTCAGTGAAAACTACCAAAATGTCATTAGCCACCCCCAACTGATAAGAATCCAAGTATTGGAGCACAGTCAAAAACGCTGCACCACTCCAAATGTTTGGAAGGCATAGTTCTATACACTGTGATTCATTGTACCTGTTCTTGTGTTTCCTCCTCTGTACCTAATATTCTGGAGGGCTCCAAGGGCCTGGGCCTTGTCATTGTATGTGTTCAGCTTGAACTCAGATTTGACCTCGTCACTGTACTGCACAAATGAAACCTGAAAGGAAATGTGGTTTAGCAGTGAGTGTAAGCCATCTCACCTTGTATTTCAACCTTTGAGTGACTTCTCTAGCTACAGAATGACAGGACCACGGGAATGCATCTCTGAAGTCATCAAATACAAACAGTATTATACTACCTGCTGATGTTCCATTAAATTCTCTAACTCCCAACACTGGATGAAATAGTTATAAATAATATTAGTAAAGAAAATACACTATATTCATATGGTGCTTTTCCTTGGGATGTAGGAAGAAATAGGAAAATCTAGCAACCAGCAAGGATTAGAAGAGCATTTCTTCCTGAAACCAAACGCTGGTTTAACATCTTGGCTGACTGTCAACCAAAGCAGTCTTTCTCAATGACTATATCCAGTCTTTGTCGATAACAGTATCTCTGTGATCACAATCATCATAGACTTAGCTACAGTGCGATTTAGTGGAAAAGTACTGGCTTTGTTTTGAGGACTCCCTGTCAACTGAGTAAGTTCCCTATTTCTCTGGCCTTTAGTTTCCTTATTAGTAGAATGGAAATGAATTAAACTCATCTTCCATTGGGTTGGCATGGCTCAAGTCCCAGCTGCTCCAAATCCAATCCAGCTGCCCACTAATGACCTGGGACAGCAGCGGAGGATGGCCAAAGTCTTGGGCCCCTGTGGCTATGCTGGAGACCTGGAAAAAGCTCTTAACTCTAGGCTTTCAACTGGCTTACAAATGGCTCTGGTCATTGGGGCCACTAGGGCCACATGGGGAGTTACCCAGCAGAAGGAAGAGCAATCTCTCTCTCTCAAGTAAAAATAACTCTTTTTAAAAAGCTTATCTTACATAGGTGCTTTATAAATGAATGAGCATGTACAAAGTATGGTATATAGGAGTTAATAAAGAACATTTTAGTTACTTTTATTAGAAATGCTGTGTCTAAAAGGATAAAGAGAGTAGCTTAAATCTTCATATATTATGAATATAATTATGCTAAATTTTTATTCTCTTGAGCTGGAACAATGCCTACAGGATTATTTGGAGATTTTAAATTTTGTAGATTCCATGAAATACTATTCCATAAAACAGGGCACAGTTGGTTATAACATTATGTGTTTTTTTTTCAAAATGTCTTATTTTCGTAATGCCTCTAAGACACCACTACAAAGTACAAACTGCCAAATAAAGAACAAAATTCACCCAAAAGAACAGGGGGAAAAAAGAAGGATACAGCTTCTGCCCTGAAGGAGTCAATGAATTAGGCAGAAGAGGGTCACACAAGTAGTGACAATATAAAGTGATACTTGCCCTAAAAGAAACGTAGACAAAATGCCTTAGGAGCATGGAATGCCAAAAGCTATCCGGAGGCCATTCTCCAGAAGGGCTGGAATTTGAAGTGGGTCTTCAAGATTGTAGAATCCAAGACATAACTAATAATAGCCTGAATCAGACTCTCTAAGAAGCTGGGAAGACTGCCCAAAATAGACTCAGAGTCACTGAGTCTAAGTGTCAATCAGTTCATGGGTGAACTGGGGGTGGTAAAGGAGACATTAAGCTTTACAGCCAGTTAGGGCTAAATGATGAATTAATCTATAAGTCTTCTTTGGGAATATAAAAATCTTCAATTTCCAGGATAACAAATTCTTGGCAAGCAAACTGCTAGTTATTATTTAAGGAAAAAAATGAAGGGCCCTCTGGATCAATAATGAATATTTTTCTGGTCAAGGTCCTAGCTTCAGGGTAGAGGACAGGATTCATACAACCACTACAGGCACTAGTCCACTCTGATTCTTCTACCATTTCGGGATACAACATTCCCAATACTTGAATGTTCAAATTTAGAGCTGTCTTTTTGGAATTGTGTCCCTGTTGAAAGTCATAACCAGAAAATTATAGAGTCTGAATTTCCTAAATTCTCAAATAGGAATGTCCATGTAGTCAAAGAGAATATCCAGAGAAACCTTTATTTATTTCCAATTCATTTCCAAAATTACACATGTAAAGAAAATAGCAAATAGTGAAGGTCCAAACATAGGTTATATTGAAAATATCTGAACTTATAAACAGAAGTTCAAGCAAATTAGCAAGATAGTACAAATCATTACCCATCTGGTAAAGGACACTGACCTGAATGCCAGCAGGGCTGATTTCATCAAAGGCTCCCACAGTATTAAAGATGAATTTCACGACTTTGTTGAAATTATCATCCCCAATACTCCAAGAGGCATCAGTCAAGAACACAATATCTGCCTTGGCCCCTTTGCACACTGGGGAAAAAAAGGAAAACCAGCAGAGGAAGTCCCACATCTCATGAATTATTTCATTCAAAGTAGAGTACATTAACTGAAAAACGCTGTGAAACAACCTGCTACTCAATCTGTGGTTCAGCAACAAGAACACTCACCACCTGTAAACCTATCAGAAATGCACAGCCTTGAGCCCTGCCCTAGACTTCCCGAATCTGATTCAGCAATAAGATGCCTATATGGTTCGAATATCCAGCATATTTGAGAAGCACAGAGCTGACTCTCAATTTGTTTAAATCCATTATGTAAGTACAGAATTTTGCCTCAAGAGACTCTTCAAGCAGGTTTAAACAATTAATGGGAGAAAATTCAAAAGCAACATTGTCTAGAAATGAAGGAGAGCCACCAGTGGGTTTGGATAGTTTTAATATAATGACCAAACATCTGATGCAAGCAAGTTGATTTTTTATTTTAAATTAAGTCACTAGAATCACATCAGATGGATATGACACATAAATATTTTTCATTTGAATTCTAAACTTGGAGACTATAAACAGAATCTTTAAAATAAGAACATTTAAGTTTATAAAAACTTCACAGGTGAGATATATGACAATATTTTGAATGACAAAGATCCACCAATAGACAGTTCAGAGTTACATTCTGGATGGGGGTAATGATACAGTAGAATGTAGATTTTGTTCTGTCTACTAAACTTCACAGAGAATCTAGAACTACTCTAAAAAAAAGGTCTACTTTGAAAAAAAAGATGAAATGCTTAAAACCAGGATTACCAAACTTCTTTGGAGGGTTCAGTTTATAGAAATCTATCATTATTTTACCCCATAATAATAAACTTCAAATTTTAAATTTATTTATATTACAGGACTCAAAGTTTTTTGATAAACAAAAGAATACCTACAATTAAATTCAATTTGTTAATGTAAATAAATTTGCCAAAGAATATTTTTGTTGTTAGATAATGAATACAATAAAAAGAAAAATGGGGGAAGCTGTAATCATCTAGATTCTTATAATATGAGAGAAAAACATGGAATGCTTTCTACTGAGTACTAGAAATATAATATGAGGAAAATGTAATAAATTCATTAGATAATTAATTAAAGAACAATCAATTAAAGTTAAGTGGATGGGGCACTAAACAATTGCTCCCAAATTACTGAGAAAGCACTTTGAACAGCTCTATATGCCCTTTTACCAGTTCACTGTGATGATTAAGTCTGAAACTTTAGATGAATGAAAATTATTTAGTGTAGTCCCAGGCACTTCTCAGATCAAAAGCCAGGAATTCCAAAGCTGAAGACCTCATGACTTCAGTTTTATATGTAGGCAAAAAGGCTTACAGTACTTGTTGACAGGAGCCAGTGAAAGGCAATGCCCACATGTAACTACAGACTACAGAAGTTACCACTAAGATATTACTCTGCAAAACTAAGGAAACTGAAGGTTGAACGAACTTACAACTGATTTTACTCACACTGAAATGGGCCAACAGGGGGGAAAAGTTACCCATAATTTTTTTTGTCTAAAACCATTTTGACAGCAGCAGTAAATAAGAACTGTTCTATACTCATTCAATTACAAATGAGCGTATATAACAAATAAATCCACTGATCTCTATCTGAAGGATTCATTGCCTCAAGGGCTGTACTTACCATCACGGGCTGGTGGAATGGTTGGAGGAGGAGGAGGTGTGGGCGGCTCTGTAGGGGCTTCTGTCGGTTTCAGGGCTAGAAGTTTGAAAGCAATAATTAGAAAATCACAGCATGTTCACAGTTTATATTCCCAAAAGCAAATATTCAGAGTAATATGTTATCAATAACAAATCAAATCTTGGAAACTAATACTGTAGGGCTTCTACTCTGTCCATGCTTCAAGCTCAACTACAACTGCAGAAAGTAAAGACACAAAGAAGAACATAAGGCCTTCAAGAAGGGCAAGAGTAGAATCCATGAGTCTGAGTCCATCTACATCTTCTCAGCATCAGCCAGAGCCACCTCTCCAACCCTTGCCCCTCTCCTGTCATTTCATCATTACTGCTGCCCCTAGAGAAGCGCCTGCATGGAAGGCACCTTCCTCTCTCACAGCTACAAATTCCATCCCAAAGCCTTATGAACAGTTCAAAGCAGTCCAAAACTTACTGGTATGTTCACTGACAGGGACACCTGGTCCCTCAAGATTCGGTGTCTGCACAAAAACAGTTACGCTGTAGTCATTGTCTGGTGAAAGGCCTGTGAAGCAGTGACTAGTTTCTGATCCACGCACAGTAATTTCTTGTCCTCTGGTTCCTGATTACGAGAAATACCAGTGTCCTCATCAGTCACACTGAAAGGCATCTCTACAGATCACTCTATAAACAAACTTCTACACTGAAGGCTAAAGGTGCAGTTACATACCATCTCCTGGGCTCAGTTTCAGCCTGTAGGAGGTAGCTGCCCGGTGAGCTGACCACCTGACACAGAATGTGTCCCACCCAACCTGGTAAGTTTTCAGATCTGTCACATTTAAGTACACTACAAAATAAAGCAAAAAAGAACGCGATTCATTTTGAAAGAAATGACGGAAAACATATTTTGAATCACAGAATAATTGTCAAATGTTTACTATGGCAGAAAAATAAAAATCTAAAATGTTAATGTTTTAAATGAAACATGTAGAAATTACATAATCACAAAGGATTTTCCTCTACTTCACTGATTTTCAAGGAAAGAAAAATCTATACATTTTCTTTGCAAAACTATAAACGCCAAAGATGTCACATAGAAAATCTTGAGAAATTTTTCCGAGAGTCAATCTGATAGATCTCTGAGTGGTTATTAAGGAACCTGATGACTACATCTATATCTTGACCAAATCAGTAATCACAATTCAGTCATCTGAATAACTAACCAATGCATCCATTCAATCAATGAATTTAGGCAATTTATATCTTACATCAAATGTTGGAAAAATCTAAACCACACAAAAAATCTAATTTTATGGCTCATACATGGAGGAAATAAAAATTTTTATATTTTGTCTAATTCAATATATAATATTCTGTATGGAAGAAACATCATCATATATAATTATTATGCATACAGATAGGCCCATTAACTGGGCACAAGCTGATCTACCTACTTAATGTGAGGAAACATGCATATGTCATGAAAAAAAAAAGAAACAAAGAAACAAACAAAGGTTGATCCGATCATTTTCACTACATGAAAATACCCATGACTCACATGTGGTGCCTTGATCTGTCAAAGGAACACTGAGCCCTGAATCATACTGAGCATAAACATTCACATCATAGGTCGTGCTGGGATTGAGATTGTGCAATGTGTACGATGTCACTTCTCCAACAAAAGCTTCCATGGGCTCATTGGAACCTGGAATAACAATCACAAAAGTGCACCAAATTATGCCATCAGTTGCTTCAAATTTTTACTTAAAATTAAAGATCTTGATTTAAAATCAAATGGTAGGATGAATTCCATTAATTCTTAGAGTCCCTCATGCGCTTGCTTACTATAATACATACTGCATCCTGTGGTGAATATGAAGCTGTAAACACAGACAGAATTATTTATTCTATCCTCACAGCACCTAATATGTAGTAAGCAACCAGTTAGTGTTCCTTTAGGAAACAAGTTTTCACTCTCTTTTCCAAGTCCTACTTTACCAATATAGTGCTTTCCATACAGTGGGTGCTTAATTATCATTTGTCAATTTGTTATAGAAATGCTGAAGAATGTCTATCTCAGACCTCATTCTACATAATTTAGTCACTGAGAGTTCTCAGATATCCACCCTGCTTCCCCTTCTAAGTTCTCTTTGAGTTCTCTTTGCATTTGCTTGCATGGATTGTCATGTCCTTTTTCTCCACTTTTTTCTAAATCATATTTCTCCTTAAATAAATGGAAAATTCCCTAGCACATTTGATACAAAAAAACATTTTTCTTCAAAATGTTCTAAGCACAGATAGAACATGGAAGCACAGATGAAATCAATTTATGTAAAATGGCAATGGGGAGTTGACAGGAAATATACCATGAATAACGTAACAAGTGTAAAATCTACACCCATATTGAGTTAGTGATGCGGACATAGAATGAGTATTACATTATACTCCAAAGGCAAGTGCAATAATTGTTAAGCAAAAAATAATGATAATAATATTTAAGGAAATAGAACCTTAGAAAATCTATATGCAAAATAAAGTAATACCTGAGAATAAGTTCATATAGAATAAATATGCATTATTTCACAATAACAACAAATAAGAAACTTAACCAAAAGCATCTTTGCAATATTATATAGACCAAATGAAACTTTTTAATCAAGTAATTTAGTAAGAGCCTCAAGTACCCCTATAGAAACAATGGTACTTTTAGGCCACTGGCTTAAGACAGTATGTCTAGAAACTTACCCAGGGGTGGGAGGAAATACTTTCACATACAATTAACCCATTTGTTTCTCTTATACAAATAAAGCATTTCTACAATGACAAAGGGACTCCCTTACCCACTGGCTTGTACACGATTTTATATCCAAGAACTGGAGAAGGTGAAGGATCCCAGGACACCCTGAATCTTGTGTACCATTCATCAGAGATGTGTATGTTCTGAGGAGGAAGTAGACCCACTGCAAACAAACATGAGCACACATTACAGACCTTTCCACAGTGCACAAAGGGAACACAAAACCTGATAGTATTGACAGGGCAGCTCTAGGAGAGCAATATTATGTCCCATAATATCCTCCAGAAATAAATGAGTCACTGAAGCATTTAATGAAACTTAGTGGTTTTCCAATTTCCATCAGAAATTGATGATTTCTAGAACAGCCTCTCCAGCCAAAGATAAGAACTTGCACTGTTATGTTATGTGGCTCAGAATAACAGAAAACAATCAGGAGATCACAAACCCATTTTAGAGTGCTACAGATTGATAGAATCAGAAAGCAACTTAACGGCTATCTAGTGCAACCACTTCGTCACATAATGCAATACGGTTTGCACAAGACCACACAGCTAGTTAGTGACTTAAACAATTTCTTCCTCTACCCCTGGGCACTCCACCAACATAACCTAGAGCAAAGTCTTAAGCCCGGAGGCACAGCTTCCAAACCAATGACTTATAAAGTCAACGCTGTTCAGTTAGCACATCAAATAAGTGCTAAGATATTACTTACAGCATGACAGAATAATACACTAACTTGAGGTTTATTTTTCAAGGGTGAAATTAGGCATGGCTTTGACCCTTGCTGGAAAATTCTAGATGCAGTAAATGCTTTAAATATATTTTGACAAGCACAAGATTGGGACCAATGCCACACCATTTCCCCCCGCCCCATACCACACAAACACACAAAAAAAAGCCAAAATGCATTCTTAAAAATTTAGGGGAAAGTGAAAAAGGGAAATTTCTTACATTAAAATCATCTCGGGCACAGAACTGTCTTTAATACAGGAGATCCACTGATCAACAGATTATCAACAGATTGTTGACCTGAGCTGATCAACTTAAGTCCCGCCTTTTGCTTAGGAGTTCCCTAACATTACCTCTGCCAAATTCTGTGATACTATAAAGGTCCTTTAAACACAAAAAGGGTTTTGGCAAGTATGTGTAAAAAGAATTCCAAATCATGCTACCTAAGTAGACTTTTCCTATGTAAACTGGAACGGAAGAATGTTAATATTTACTAGGAACAGAACTCAGAGCCATAACCCAGCCTGCCTTCATGCTACCTCAGTTGCCTTTAGCCTTGGCTGTACACTGGAACATCCATAGATCTAGGCCACATATCAGATCAGCTGTTTTAGAACCTGTATCCCTGGGAGTAGTACCTAGGCACAAACACCTTCAAAGCTTCTCAAGGTATTCACATGAGCAACCAAACTGGAGACTCTAACCCATAAGAAAGTTACCACTGAATAGGTTTAGAAATGAGCATTGATGATTCTGTTCTTTAGTCACCATTTTTAGAAAATGTAATATGAAATCTAAATATTAATACAATATTAATGTAATATATAATTTTAAGTGCATATGTTAATATAAAAATTAAAATTTCATTTGAGAGGCAGAGAGAACAGAATTGCCATCCATTGGTTCTTCCCCAAAATGCCCACAATGGGTGAAATAGGTGGGAGTCAGATATGTGCATCAATTCCACATACTTGTGGGATGAGGGCATATTAATTGCTAAATGCCCATACCAGAGTATAAGTTATTAAAAGGTGTAAGAAGCAAGATAAGAAACTTGACAACTTCAAAGCACACAATAAAGGAAACTCCAAGGAACACTTACCAGTTCTTCCATTTCCTGTAAGATGGCCACCATCTCCATCCTCGTAAACAGCAATAATAGTGATTTTATATGGAGTATCAGATTGCAGGGGCTGCAGTATTACATTGTTTCTTCTGCCTGGGACTGTGGTCTACACAGGAGGTTAAATTACAAAGTTATTACCAGCTGGAGATAAAAGACAATATTGTTTTATGTATTCTCATGAAGAGTAATGGTTTTTTCCTATTTTCTTTGGGCTACACATCTTTTGTGGCAAGACAAATTGTCTACACTGTCTCTACACAGTGTGAAAAAACAGTTTCAGTCTCAGGCGGATCCAGGCTCCAATGCCAGATCAGCCAGTCAACATCTTCGTAGGAAATGGGGAGGATTTTAAGCACATACACAGCAGCTCAAGGCACACTACTGATTATGGCAGCACTCAACACGAGCTACTTCTTCCTCTTCCGTTTCACATTACTGGACACTAAAGCATCTTATCCACTATGTAAGTATTTTATAGCACCAGGCATAATTCTCCTTTTAAAAAAACATATATTGGAGAGGCAGAGAGAGATACAGAAAGAGAGAAAAGCTTCCTGTTAGGTCAGTCTCCCAGACCATCAAAGACTTGCCCAGGCCAAAGCCAGGAGTTTAGCATTTAGTCCACATGAGTGTGAAAGACCCAGCTACTTGAGTCCCCATTAGTTGCCTCCATGGGCATGCATCACAAGTAAGCTGAAAATGGAAACCAGGAGTATCTGACAGGGCATTCACACAGAACTTCAAATACAACACAGCAAGCAACCACTGTGGGCCAGGCATGGCACTAGCTACATGTGAGCAAAATTATACTGTTTCTTCCATCAAAAATATCACTTCACAGGTAGGAGTTGTAGAATGGCTCAGTAAGTTGCCTCTTGGGATGAATGCATCCCCATATCAGAGTCTGGGCTAAAACCTCACTTCCACTTCTGTGCCAGCTTTTTCTGCTATTGTATTCCCACCCTGGAAGGCCACAGATGATAGTTTAAGCACATGAAAGACTTGGACTGAATTTATGGCTCTTATTTCGTCCTGTCCATCCTTGACTGATAAAGGCATTTGGGGAGTGAAAAATTTGAAGGAAGATCTCTCTCTTTTTTCTCTCTCTCTTTCCCTTCTTGCTTTTCAAATAAAGAAAAATAAATAAATATTTTTAAAGAATGTCAATTTTGCTGATACTAAGTGAAAAAAATGTAAAAGAGGAAATGGAAAATACATTAAATTATCTCATCAAAGAAGAAAGAACCAGGCACCTCTTAAACTCCCTCTAATACTGTTTTGCTGCTACACACAGATTGAATCAGTCAATCCTGTAATTTGCATCCTGACTTCTTCATAATCAGTAAAGTGGGTAACGTTTCTGGAACTTAACACAATTAACCATTAAATTTCAAATAAAATGCAATGTTTCCATCAGTTACAAGTGAATTGACATAGTAAGGATTATGGGGATTTGGATAATCACATCATTTGAACATGGCCTTAATATTTCAACATAATGAGCATCAGATTTCACTAAACTTGATGTTTGCGATGTCAATCAGGCAGTCAGAAATAAGAAACACACAGGTGAGAGATGAGCATTTGGTGAAAGCAGTTAAGATGCTGTTCAGGATGCCTACGTCACATATCAACTCGCCTGGTTTGGAATCTTTGCTCTGCTTCTGATCTTGCTGCCTACTAATGCTCCTCCCAGAAAATACCCAGGAGTGGCTTGTGTGCTTGGGTTCCTGCCACCCATGCAGGAGATCTAGAACAAGTTCTGCACTCTCAGCTTTGGCCTGACTCAGACTAAGCAGTTGCAAACATTTGAAGAGTAAGTTAGTCAGTGGAAGAAGATTCATTTATTCATTTTCTCTCTCACCAATGATCAAAAATAAATAAATCCTTTAAAATATATGCAGATGATGATGGGATGATGTCTTTCTACCAGAGAAAAGGAGCCCCAAAACTGCTCTTCTACGCTGTGGGTTCATTTTCAAGGCTGAGAAAGTCCCGTGACATATGAAGGACAAGTTAAATCACCCTCCAACCATATGAGATTATACAATGTGCCAAGCATTACACTTACATATTCATCAATTGGATCACCAACAGTGGGAGAATAAATGATCCTGTATTGCTGAACTGGCCCATCAGCATGATCCCAGGTTACAGAAAGGCTATTGGTTGTTTCCCCAAAGACTCGCATATTTCTTGGTCCACTTCGAGGCACTAAATTTGAAAATTAAATTATTAAAATTTTAAAAGCAGCATAAAGTTTGCTACCTTCCTGAAAACATGGCCCAGGTCACATTTTGGAAGTTAGGTTTTTCCTGATTTCTTTGTGATAAACAGTTTACTTCCTTAATACAAAATATACATCTTCTATGCTTTTAATGCAAGCCCAGCATAAAGTGGTACATCTCACAGGTACAACTACCTATAAAACTGTGTCACATAATACAATGTTATTAAAAAATAAATTAATTAAAAGAAAAACCTAAATGTAAAAATAGAAAATAGACTTTTTGTCAGTATAACCACCTCTTTAACGAAACCCAGAAGCCAAGCTTTCACATTTCCAGAGTGCCCAACTTGTGAGAAGACCCATCACAGAGCAGAAAGAAGAACCCTTCTTAATTTTAGGGGGAAAATGACCAAATCAAGTTCATCAAGCACAGAGTCATGAACCCAAAGCCTCAGTCTGAATGTGAATGTGGGGACTCCCAGGCAGAATCCCATTCAGAAACCTGTCACCTCCTCAGCAGAGAGGAAGAAAATCCTCCACACCCCCAATTACCACCCGCCTCCCACTCCTCACTCCCTCAGAGAAGCCACACCAGCAACTAGGGGAAGCGGAAGACTCACGTGTTCGTCCTTGGCTAGGGCTGGGATTGCCCTCTCCATCTGAGTAGAGGGCCACAATGTCCACAGAATAGGGTGTGTCTGGAATCAGCCGCTCCAGGTGCACTGTGCGGGTATTTCCTGGTACCACAATCTGAGAGGGGAGAAAACACCAGAATCTGCCTGAGAACAACCTAAATGTTTAGAGAGTCTTAATCAGCATACTAGTATTTATTACAAAAGACTGAACCCAGATTCATTGGAAGCCAATTGCATTTTTCTGCTCAGGCCACAGTGTCAGATGCCATTCCTCCTAAGGAATTCCCATTCTAAAAGAGGTTCATTCATTTTGATGTTTGATAGATTCAATCATCTCCCCATTTGTGTTTATGATGAATATTCTCAAACATAACCTCCAGGACTCATGGTGTTTTTCCAAGAATTAATTATTAATTATCAATCTACTTAAAATTCACTGAATATTTGTGAATTGGAAACATGCAAGGACAAACTGTAAGAGCCAATGAGGTAAGTTTAAGATAGCGTCATAACTAGGAAATTCATGCTTTACACCAAAATTAACACTGACAAATATTAGCTATGATTTATGTTTATCACTGAATTTAACTAATTTTGGTAATCTGAATTTTCCCAAAATCCTTTCTCTGAATAATCCTGTAATTAATACACTTGCCTTAATCATTTAAGGACCAGCATGCGTTTTAGCAGGCTAAATGCTGCTTGTAACCACATACCCCACACTGGAGTGCAAGTTCAAGAGTCAGCTACTTTGCTTCCAATCCAACTTCCTAATAACATACTTGGCAACAACAGATAATGGTCCCAATAAAGTGGGCCTTCACAATTACAAGAGAGGCCAGGATGCAATTCCTGGTTCCCAGGGCTCCAGCCTGGCCTTGACCTGACTACTGCAGCCATTTGGGGAGTGATTCAGAGGATAGAAAACCTCTCCCTTTCTCTCTCATTCTTGGTCTCACTCTCGCTCTGTCTTTCAAATAAATACACCTTTTCTGAGAAAAAGAAAAATTATGTAAATATCGTCTACTGGCATATCTTACTTCATGCTCTTGTAGGCTACCAAAACTGACACAAACAAGCAACATTTGTCAGGAAATGTTCCCATGAGTGGCAGTGTCACCTCAATGGCTGATTTATTATTCCCTGCCAGCAGCCATGGTAGGAGGTACAACAGAATCTACAAATTCTTTGGCTAAGCTCTAAGATGAGAAAATCACTTACAGATTCTGAGGGTCTTGTGCCAGACACAGGAGAATATACAACGCGATACTGCTGCACAGGCCCAGGAGCAGGATCCCAACGAACATCAAGGCTATTGGGTGTAGGATTATACACATGGATATTTCTTGCCAGTCCTCTCACCACTGAGGAAAGGAAAAGCAACATTTATTTCTTGGGCCTGCTAAACATGGCAGGCTTTTATCACTTTCTATAACCTACACTCTAGAATGGGATGAAAAGCCAGGCTATTTAAAAGCACACTAAAACTCCCCAAATTCAAAGTTAGTCTAAGTTAGGCAAAAAAGACCTCTGTTTATATGAAGCCACAGCTGTTCCAATAAAAACAAGCTAGAGGGCCTGGCGCAATGGTGTAGTGGTTAAGGTCCTCGCCTTGCACGCCCGGGATACCATATGGACGCCAGTTCTAATCCCAGCAGCCCCACTTCCCATCCAGCTCCCTGCCTGTGGCCTGGGAAAGCAGTGGAGGACGGCCCAAAGCTTTTGGACCCTGCACCCACTTCAGAGGCCCAGAAGAGGCTCCTGGCTTCAGATTGGCTCAGCTACAGCCATTGCGGCCACTTGGGGAGTGAATCATCGGATGGAAGTTCTTTCTGTCTCTCCTTTCTTTATATCTGCCTTTCCAATAAAAATAAAATAAATCTTAAAAAAAAAAAACAAGCTAGAGATACAGAGCTGGACATGCCCTGAAAGGACATAGAAGTAGGGGAAAAAGGCTTCAGCTGTGTAACTAAGTTATGCCAAGAGAGAAGAGAAGAGGCACTCCACAGAATCTGCCTTCTGCGTAAACCTCACAATCGCCATAGACACAGTCTAACTCAGGCAGCTACTGCACTCACTCATCCTTTCATTGATTCCTTCTTCACTCAACAAGAGCCACTAAGTACCTTCTCTGATTAAGAGAAAAGGCAAAAGGAATTAGAAATGAAATATAATCAATTCTCAATAGGGACTTGAAGAAAATAATCTAGGTACTAAACTCAAATTCTACTTTAGCCAATACTGTCATATTTTCAGACAACTATTTTTTAGTTAAAAGAAGCCATCCATGTTACTTTCCTTTTAACCATCAGGAAATATATCTTTGAAGCTAAAGAAACATTTAGCAGTATGCACAAAATACTTTGGGCTGTATTGCAAAGAACAGTAAAATCATCATAAACTGACTTATTAAAACATTAATAGCAAATAAAGCCTACAGAATTTTAATGTTCAAAAGTACTTCTTCAACAAAACAGAGAAATATGCAGTCCAAATAATATAACGAACATAGTTGAACAATTCACTTCATGAAAGCCAATTACAGAATAGTGAGTGCATCATGAAATTTTGCAAAGCAAGCTGAAGGAATTTTGGTCAGAGAAAGTGAAAGACTAAGTGACATTGTAATAATTACATACATATTTAAAAAGTCCTAAAGTCATTTCAAATAAATGTCATAAGTTGTTTTATTTTACAAAAACAAATGTTAAGAGTTGATAATGTTTGAGAGGTGAACTGGTGATAATTTTAATACGTTTAATTCTACCATTCTGCATTTGGCTAATTTTCTCTTATGGACTTCCTAGGACTTCTATAGTGAGAATCAAACTTTATGATACTATACTTTATGATACTATACTATACTTACATGTCCTTGCAGTCTCTGATACACGTCCTCCGTCACCTTCATTATAAACAGGAACTACTGTAATGGTGTATGGGGTATCTGGCTGCAGATTTCTGAGAATGGCATAATTGGTGTTCCCGGGGATTGGTACCTAAGAATTTTAATGAGGTATACAGTAATTCATTTGAAAACCTTGTGAGAGAAACAATGCTTCAAACAGTATAATACCGACTCAAGGCAAAGTTAGAATCAAGTTCCATAACACTGAAATACAATGATGTATCAACTCTTAAAAGGATTATGAAGACTATTATATACTCCTGTACACACTCCCCTTTGGAACTCCCTGGAATGATTGCTTCTGCCCATGGCATTAAACTTGCAACATCTCTGTTACATAGCCTTTAGGACACTAGCTACTTACTCTTAGTCAAGTCTTATTAAAAGAATACAAATTTCTTCAACACTAAAGGAAATTGGTTAATTTTCCCAGTTCCCCTTTAGATCACTCAACAACTACCATTCAAGATATAATTACCAGTTCCTCTGGGCCTCCTGCTGTGGGTGCATAAAGGAGCTTGTACTGGCGAGGATTTCCTTCCGCATGGTCCCAGCGAATATTCAAGGTGCTGGTGGAAGGGTCGTACACTCTTAGGTTCCTCACAGTGTTCAGAGGCTCTGAAATGCACAGAAATTGTAACAGCATGGTCTTCACAACCCCAAAAACACAAGCTTGGGGATAGCTTACAAGCACCCTACAACATAGCAGACACCGCATAAATGTTAAAGTAGTGAAAAAAATGTTTGGTAGTCTTGTGCATATGTCTCATCTACCCAACAGAGCAAGGCACTGTTTTATACTACAAAGTGAAAAAACAGCTCACAAATTGAGACCAAGATACTATTTGAATGAATCTTCCAACATTAATAAAACTCTGGATCCCTGGTATTTTGAGATGAAGGTACAATGTCAATGGCATTTACAAAAGATGTTGCAGGGACTCGGGTTTCACTTACTGGTCTTGCCTCTTCCAGTCATCCGACCTCCTTCACCATCTGGATACAGAGAGGACACAGTGATAGTGTATGGAGTGTCGGGCTTCAGTTTCTGCAGGACCACACTGTTCTGCCGTCCTCCAATCGTAGCCTTGAGTAAAACAGTCCTTGGTGAGCATCAGCCATCCATCTCCATCTCAACAAACTGTTAGAAAAAGCTTTCTACTGAACTGCTCTTGGGCACCCTTGCCAAGTTCTGGAATCATACACCACAGTGAGAGCTTAAAGTATGTGATGGTAGAATTTTGAAAGTAAAATATGCACCTCAGATCCCATGAAGGATTCCAAGCTTTAAACTGGTGACCTCAAAAAGATATTTCAACTTGCCAGCCACCAGCACTGCAAAATTTTATCCAAAACACATTTTACAGAACTCTTCCAAGAGAAGGCATGAATCACAAGCAAGCTACAAAGGGACTTCAAGATACCAAACAACTGCAGAATTTCAGAGACACTACCCCATTCAACATTAGTCTTTCTTTTTCACAGATGTTTTTTATTTACTTTAGAAGCACATTCAAATGATTCAGCAAAAGATCTAAAGCTCTTAGTGCTTCCCCCAAAGCCCTGCCACTCTAAGAGCATTAGCTGTGTAAACGACGTGGCCAGAGAATCTGCCAAGCCACACTCCAGCAGGGCTTCCCAGTTGTCTCCACCAGAACAGCCTTATGCTAAGAAGCTTCTCAATTTCCTCCAATTATGGAGGTTGAAGCATTTTATTCATTGCTTAAGGCCATCTAGCTATCTTGTTGAAAGAAAATTTGTACAATTTGTTAACAGTCTACTGAATTCAGATGTTTATGCATGCTAATTAAAATCACATGAAAATGGCATGTTGCCCACCATGAGTGCACATGTACATGGCTGGATGTGCCAGTGGAGCCCAGATGTTCCCAACTTAGCACCCATTTACTCAAGCAGACTGAGCTTCAGAGAAAACTTCAGCAAGTCAACTGAAATCATCCTCAAATGAACAAATTGACCTGTAGTGATTAACTTTAGTAGATTTAACATTTGAGGTTATGAGATAAATGCATCAATTCCAACACTAGCCATTTTTATTTTAAAAAAAAGTCTGATACATGAAAGGTCTTAGACTATCTACTCAGGAAAGCCAATCTCACAAATAGACCGTTGTTGACTTACTTTTCCCATGTAGCTTTACAAAAATAATTTTAGCTTTACTGATTCACTACTTTGATTACTTCAGGGACTAGCATTAAAATGCAAATATTCTTCACAATAACAAACTTTAAGGGATGATCAGCAAATACTTCCAGGGAATTAGTTTATGAGACTGTCTAATGATAGCAAACAGCTGAAGGACGTAAACAAGACTCATGGGAAGCAGTTGGAGCACTGGTGTCACCAGAAAGGGAAATACTAAAGAGAAGCTTCACCAAATCTGTCCTGGCACAGAACAAGAAGAAGCTCTGTTTCTAAAATTAAAGTATCCGTACATCTTATTTGTTTTATCTTAGTTTTTATAAAGATCAATTGGATACAGCTGCTATTTACTTTATTGTTAATCATCTATTTAACCAAAACAGACCCAAAAAGATCCCAGTCCAATCGCATCATACTACGTAAGACTGCCACTATGGAAAGCTCAAAAGACAACTCAGAAGTAACACTGAAGATTGGAATGTTTCTAATGCAGCTAAGTCCTTTTATGAGATTGCATCAAAAACCTTAAACCACCATCCTAAAGCTACGGCACACCTGAACTTCATATAACACTTCTCAACTTGTAAGCCACATCATGGGTGTCATGAAACCCACATCAAGCCAGAGAGAGTAAAGCTGCCACCAGTGAAGCCAGCATCTCATATAGGCACCAGTTCAAGCCCAAGTCCTAGTTGTTCCATTTTTTAAAACATTTATCCACTTTCACTGGAAAGTTGGATGAAAGAGAAGGAGAGGGAAAAAGATCCTCCATCCACCAGTTCACTCCCCAAGTGGCTGCAACAGCCAGAGCTGAGCCAGGCAAAGCCAGGCGCCAGGATCCTCCTATAAGTGTCTCTCACACATGCAGAGTCCTAAGGCTTTGGGCCATCCTCTACTGCTCTGCCAGGTGACAAACAGGGAGGTGAGTGGGAAGTTGAGCAGCCAAGACACGAATTGACACACATGTGGGATTTCTGCACATTCAAGATGAGGACTATAGCCACTAGGCTATCATGCTTGGCCCTCAGGTGCTCCATTTTGTATCCAGCTCCCTGTTAATTGCCTCAGAAAAGCAGCATAGGATGGCCCAAATATTTTGGGCCCCTGCCACTCATGCCGAAGACCTGAAAGAAACTCCTGGCTTTCAGCTTCAGCCTGAAGTGGCTTTAGCCCATGCAGTCATACGGAGAGTGAATCAGTGGATAAAAGACTCTGTCCTCTGTGTGTGTGTGTGTGTACTCTCTGCTGCCCTTTCAAATAAATAGATAAATCTTTAGAAAAAAAGACACACAAGCTTCAGCTCAGAAAGATGTATAATGATGGAGTAATAGAGATTACCATAACCAGATGTGGAGATACAATGCAATATGTATCCCTGCTTCCAAATCAAAGATGAATTCCCAATGAAACTGTCGGAAATGTGTAGACCATGGGATGCTGACTGTCTGACATTGTCTGTACCAGCAATTTAGGGGCACAAATAACAGACTGATGGAATCATGACTCCTCATGAAGGACTATAGTATTGTAGCAATGTGAGTAAAATCTCTTGGGGGTAGGATTTGGGGGGGGGCGGGTGGGAATCCCAGTCTCTACGAAATTGTGCCATAATATTCAAAAATTCAAAATAAAAATTTAACAAAAAAGTCAATGAGTATTTCTCTAAATCTATATAAGAAAATACTATGAGAAAAACAACCAAAGAATGCCAGACCTCACAAGAAGAATTACAAATGAATCAGTGTGTATAACTGCTTGGGTAAAGATTCTGGAATAGAATACTGTGTGCAGTTATAGTCACACACTTGACAAGAAACAAAGCTGAAGAAAATTCCAAGACTGGTAAGTAAGGTAAACAAGACGCACAAAGGACCTACTAAATGAGGGAAGACTGTGAGATGCAGTAGATGAGGGCTGAGTTGACAGGGATCTTATAACACATCAAATCCGGAACAGAAAAAAAATAATAAAAATAAACTTCCTAAGTAAGTTCAGCTACTTGTCTGTACTCAGTAAAGTTCCATATTCTACCATCCATAATCCAGTGCTAATACTTGTTAAGGGGAACATAAATGAGCTTGTGTGCATATCCAATGCTTTGAAGCCACTATGAAGAACAACTGTAATCTCCCAGGAGAACATTCAGTGAGCCTCTCAGACGACAAACCATACAGAGTAACAGCTAGAGTGAAACAATCCCATTCAATGGAGCAAATAATGTAGACCTTTAAAGTGTGATTTAACATTAGGGACAAAGCAATTTCAAGACAGATGGGCAGAGTTGGCCCAAGTTATAGTCTTTACAAAACAAATTACCGTCTGTTCATTGCCTTCCCCTGTTGAAGGCTGATAAGTAATTCTGTATTTCTGCACACGACCGCTGGCAGGATCCCACTTAACAGTCAAACTGTTCGATGTGGCATTGTACACCTGAAGGTTTCGTGGGCCACTTTTTGGAGCTGAAAGAAGATTATTGAAAACAGGGTTAACTCACAGAACAGTGCAACCCCCAAAATATGTACATATCCCAAGAAAATGGAAGTTTCATACATCTAATTTACAATTAAACTTGATGCCTTAACAAAGATGATTGTTGAAATCTTAAGTGGTTCTTGGTAAGAATGCTTGTAAACCCCAAAACTCAAAGTTAAGAGTCATAACTACAACATCATGGTATTTGGAGATGGGGCCTGTGTTACATGAGACCATGAGGATGGGGCTGTCCTGATGGGATGAATATTTTTAGAAGGAGAAAGGAGAAGCCTTGTTTTCTTTCTCTCTTCTTCACGTGGAGACACAGTGAAAAGAGGCTGCTTTTAAGCCAAGAAGAAAGCCATTACTAGGCACTGAACTGGCCAGCACCTTGATTCTGACTTTCTTGTCCCTACAACTATATTCTGTTATTTAATTCACCCCGTGTAACACCTTACTATGACAAACCAAAGTAATACACTGCTTAACAAGTAGTACAGGAACAAATTTTTTTTTAATTTTTGGTTTTTGGATTTTGCTTTAAGAAATGTCTACATAGAAGCATCCATAGTAACACTGTGCATTAAGCCACTGCTTCAGACACCCACATCCCCTTTCAGAGTGTCAGTCCTGGCTACTACACTTCCCATTCAGCCCCATGTTACTGTGCCTGGAAAGCTGCAGCTTATGCCTTAAGTACTTGAATTCTTCCTACTCATGTGGGAGACGTGGATGATTCTGGCTTCCATCTAGCCAGTCCCAGCTATTGCGGCATTTGGAGAACGAACCAGCAGATGGGAGAATTCTTTTTCTGTCACTCCTCCTTTCAAATAGTAGATAGATAGATAGATAGATAGATAGATAATAGATAATAGATAGATAGACAGACAGATGGATTCATCCTTTTAAAAAAGAAGAGGTGGGCATTTGGCCTACCAGTTAAAAATCCAGTTGGGATCCTGCATCCCATGCCAGCATGCCTGGTTCAAATTTCAGTTCTCCTGATTACAGCTTCCCACTACTGCACACCCTGGGAGGCAGCAGGTAATGGCTCAAATCATTGTGTCTCTGCCACCCACAGTGGGGAAGAAGTTTCATTCTTGGATCTAGCCTTCAGCCCTGACACTGCCCTGGCAGTTTCAGATACTTAGGGAAGCAAATCAACACAAAGGAGTTTTCTCTCCCTTGCTCTCTCTCACTCTCACTGTATGTTTGGGTGTCTGTCTTGATGCCTCTCAGATAAATATGGTTAGTTAATTTTTAAAAGACCTGTTTAAAAGCAATCCCAACCAACACCTTACAATAAAAAAGTAGAAAATCAGTTCACAATGTGTTTTATAGTATTTTTCATTCATCCATTACGTGTTCATTCAAACAGCAAATTAAAGTCTTACCTTGTGTTGTTAAAGGTATCAGACGCACTAAAAGAAAACATAATGGGGAGGGGGGGGACAATATTAGCAATGTGGTCATAATTCTATTGTTTAAATTCAACTTTAAAATGTTAATGTCCTATTTGAAAGCTGAACACCTACATGTGCGTTCACTGCCAGTCAGGTCATCACTTTCTGACTCATCAGGATAGATGGCAGTAATGGAAACTTCATAGAGAGAGTTGGGATTCAGATTTTCAAATACCAAAGTATTTTCATCTCCATTTACAATGGTCTTGTAGAAAGAAGATAAAAAAAATATTATCCACACAAAATTAAGTTTCCACTTTTGCACACTCAATGATAATTCGATGACATTGTTTAACCTGGTATTCCCCTTCCTATGAGCTCAAATGTCATTAGTTAGAAATGTTTATCTGGCAAACAGAATTCTTATCTCAGAATAAGATAATAATATATATTTCAAGCAATCATCACATAATAAAAAGAAATAAAATATTGAGGGTTCACACTACCTCCATCTTATCTGAACTCCCAAAAGGTGCCCAGGTTATTCTGTAAAGAGACACATCTGAAGCTCCATGATCCCAAGTTCCTCGGAAACTCTCTGGTGTTACATCAGTAATCCTTAGATTTGTCGGGGCTGGAACAGGCCCTATCATTGAAAAAAAGCAGGACTAAGTTTTGTACTGTGAGTTACATACTTAATCTAATATAATAAATAAAAATTGCCTTGTTTTATTTTATTTGACATGAAAACACTAAATATCTTGCTTAGAATCAAGTATTTCATCAAGCTAATTCATTAGAAAAATTAATATAACATAGAGCTCTGGAAACAACATGCATTATTTGCATATAGTTGGTTATTATTAATATTCTACTAAAGTCAAATTTCAAGGTACCATTTAACAGCCCCTCCTAACCCTATAGTTCTTAGCCTTTTTATGTCTACCATTCCTTAAGAATCTAATGAAAGCTATGGACTCTTCAACACAGGAGCATACAAAGCACAAGTTCCAGCTTAAATATCATACAGAGCATGGACATGTCTGTTCTAGTCACCAATAAGTCCAGAGTTATAAGAATCCACAAAAGTCTCATGGGAGATTCACTTTTAATTACATTCATTTTTTTTCCTTGGTCAATTTGAAGAGATCCTCCTAGCTGAAAGATCCTCTTTCTTCCCAAGACAATCATGAACTACATCTAATACCAAAACAGTCAATGTGATAGCCAAGGACACAGATAATTATTTGTTGCTCAAAAGTTATTATTCTAATGCCCCAAATGAATCAATTTCATTTTTCACTTTACAGGCATAATTGCTGAAGTTAAAAATGAAAATGTCTACCCTACTTTAAACAAAACTGGAAGTATTATATTTTGAAAATTGATTATGACATTTCTACTTAAACATAAAGCAAATTCCATCCTAGGAAAATTACCACAGAAAAGCAGTTCTGAACATGTTTAGAATTATAATCATGATGCAGGTAACGCGTGCATAAACTGTTCCCTAAAACTGATTCTAAAAACACAAATGAAATTGCTAAGAGAGCTGACATGGCAGAAAAACAGTAGAGTAAAAAAAGGAGTAGCTGACAAATCCAAACTTCAGAGGAAGGTTGTGGCAATTGATAAGATATCTGCTACAACTACATATAAAGTGCTGTATGCCAAGTATCAATAAGTCAGGGACACAACTCACGGGTGGTTTCTTGAGCAGTCGCTGGGGGAGACTCGCCCTCATCATACACTGCAGACACGCTGACTGTGTACGGGGTTTGGGAGAGGAGGTCTTTGAGAGGAGTGCTGGTCCGTGATCTGTCCACCTCTACCTGGAATTGCAACACATCAGTGGAATTATTTTCACAAAGGATTTAGTTTTGGCATCTCCCTGTTGTTTAGGTCTCAGCATAAACAATGTGAAGTGTGATGTAAAATGGTAATATTTCCAATTTGAATAGGAATCCAGAAACTAGGCACACTTAAAATGGTTCTAAAGCACGAAACATATATATGTCATATCTGGCAAATGATTTCTGCTGGGTTCAAACAACCTAAAAGTTTTTCACCTATTTCTTTTCATATCACCTCCTCTCTTTCCACATCATTATCTGAGGAAGGAGAAGTGGACAACCTTACAAACAGTATTCCTACTCTTTTAGTCATATGCTTGTGAAAAGATTCTCCAAGCATCAAATGAAGGTATGACAATGTCATTGCAAGTGGTATCGCACATGATAAATGAGCTCACTACACAAAGTCACTTATTTCTTCCTCAATGAACTGCCATCTTAAGAAAACAACAGTCAGTGTTTTTCCAAGAATGTTTCCACAGGTGGCTTATGCCTTTTGGGTGTGTTTTTAGGCTCCTATTTTGCTCACACAAACATGAAAAACAAAGCCTGCTGTGTCCTAATACTGCCGGTTGCTGATGCTGGCTTGCTTCAACTTCTGCCCACTATCATGGCAGACACAGCAGTCACTCTCATAATGTTTCCTGCCGAACAGGACACCAAGGAAGCAAGAACTAACTGAGGCTGCACCTGAGATAATGTCAGGTTGACTCCTTGGCCAAATAGGAAACCAGCAGCATCAGTTCCCTTTGTTGGATTGCGATGGGGATTTGTTCTTTCTCTTTCTTTCTTTCTTTCTTTCTTTCTTTCTTTCTTTCTTTCTTTCTTTCTTTCTTTCTTTCTTTCTTTCTTTCTCTTTCTTTCTATTTTAGGCTCAGTGAGTCCTACTGATTTTTATATAGAACAGGAAGCTGCATTGCAAAACTCACCAAATTTTAAATAGATTTGAAGGATTGCAAATTTGTGCAGATTCACTAGAACATAATTCCCGTTCTTCATAAACAAAAGCTGAGAAGAAATGTTCTCATTTGTTCTGCGCATTATCTCATGTTCCATGGAAAAGAACCTTGTGAGAGCTATGGACTATGAAAAGCTATGCTTTTCAAAGTGGAAATGTAAAACGAAATGGATAGGTACACATTTTTCTCTGACTGTAAAAGCAAGTTGTCATGGAAACAGCTATTCACCCCAATGTCATCTAAAAAATGTTAATCCTCTAAAAGACACTTTTGCAATAACGGATTTTTGCTTTCCCTCTGTCATACTCAGTTGTCATATCTTACTATTATCTGATAAACTCCCTCTCTTCCTCCCAGCATCTTCTTGCTGTCTTCTACTTTTAGAAACATTTTGACAGTTTAAGTAATTCCTACAATGAAAAGCACCATATAAGGCATCTAGATGAGAAGTAAATACCACTTACATTTTAGAATTCTTTACCTACTAAGGATTATGCTTTTAAGATTGATGTCACTTAGCAAAACATTTCTAAGCTCAACACAAAACAGTCCAAGTTTCAGTACTATCTTCATAAAGTGGCAAGTACTGAATGCATGTTATTATCTGAGCTAGTGTTTCCATATTGCCTCCAACCTGCAACACACCTCTTTGACATCCTCTTCCGGGGTTTTGTATCGAACAATGTATTTGCGGACTTTTCCAACCACAGGTTCCCAAAAGACATTCATGGTGCTGTGAGTCACATCTCTGAGTTTCACATCTTGAGGTCTGGGTAAAGGCACTGGAGAAGCATGGGATATTAGATCCAGATGTGTTTCTCAAGCACAATGCTCTAACTCATCCACACAAGCTTTCAAGAAACTATTTGGAGAAAACCTAAAAATGTGTTACCAAAATAACTGAAAAAAAAAAGGTTATGATCATAGAGTACCATTATTCCATTAGGTAGAACAGAATTCTCCATATGAAGGCTTTTTAAAAATAGAATACATTTTGGTTTTTATCAAAATGCTAACTTAACAATATTAATCTCTCTCACTCAATGTAAATATGCCCTATTACCATTTCTCTTAATCATCTCTCAATAATAAATCATAATTCATTACACATATACACACATGTTTCTTTGTCATAGTTAAGACAGTTAAGAGAAAATAAAATCAATAGTTATTCTCCCTTAAGATCGCAACAAAGAGGCTCATGACACAACCTAATGGCTAAATCCTCGCCTAGTATGTCCAGGATCCCAAATGGGTGCCAGTTCAAATCCCAGGTGTTCCACTTCCCATCCAGCTCCCTGCTTGTGGCCTGGGAAAGCAGTCGAGGATGGCCCAAAGCCTTAGCACCCTACACCCGTGTGAGATACCCAGAAGAAGCACCTGGCCTCCAGCTTTGGATCAGCTCAACTCCAGCCTAACTCTGGCTATTGTGGCTATTTGGGGATTGAACAAGCAGATGGAAGACCTTTTTCTCTGTCTCTCCTTCTCTCAGGGAATCTGCCTTTCCAATAAAAATAAATAAATCTATAAACAAGATTATAATAGAAAAATTATTGAATATGAGTAAAGAATATGAACAACAGTAAGCATCCAATAAACTTCTAAGAAAGCTCACAGAAGTCAAAATGCTTATAAGAAAATCAGAGGTCAAAATTCTCATAAGAAAATCAAAATGATAAGCTTTTTAAAGTTAAGCAAAATTACCTTTAAAAAAGAAAATAAGAGAATAATGATGGAATAGACTCAACAGATGTACTCCTTACCAGTTGGCCATTCTTCCACTCTCCCTTACCCTGCCTCTCTCTCTTCCAGAAGCTTTGCATCCTGTTCTGTGTTTGCACACCACCATCCTATCAATGCCACCTTCTCTGTGTACTCCCTTCCTCCACTGTGGCAGTCCAGCACTGAACCAAATCAGACATCACTTTATTTCGTCTAACTGTAACTCTGGGAGCATGTAAGTCCATTCCTGACTGACCTCACTCTATCAGCACCAAACACAGTGTAGCATATAAAAGGCAACTGATAAACATATACTTATTATTCATGACTCTTACCAGGGGAATCTCTCTTTTCTGACCCCGTTGAGCTTTTATTTCCTAAGTCGCTTTTTCTTCCCTAATTTTTCTCCTGTTTTTTAATTTCCTTAGACATGTCAGCTCAGACTAAACAATTTAAGCAAGGCATCTACTCCAGAATGTCCACCGCCACAAGTATGAAACAAAATACCAGCTACATGGACAGGATAGGTGCATTGTCATTTTTCTTTAAAACAAAAAGTAAGCTAAATATGAATTCTTGATGAAATAATCAGGAAGCCCAAGAGGGAATGACCAGCATTTGGAAGAGAAATATAAACCATTATGGAGTCCATATATTTTATACGGCTTTGTAATTTCAATACCTAGCCTAGCAGCCAAAGTCCTCGTTTGACACACACTGGAATCCCATATGGGCTCCAGTTCTAATCCCAGTGGCCCTGCTTCCCATCCAGCTCTCTGCCTGTGGCCTGGGAAAGCAGTGGAGGACGTCCCAAGGTCTTGGGATCCTGCACCCACATGGGAGACCTGGAAGTGGTTCCAGGCTCCCGGCTTCGGATCGGCTCAGCTCCAGCTGTTGTGGCCACTTGTGAGGGGAGTGAATCAATGGACAGAAGATCTTCCTTTCTGTCTCTCCTCCTCTCTGCATATCTGACTTTCCAGTAAAAAAACGAAATAAAATCTTTAAAAAGTATACCTAGTCAATGACTGACATACAATGGACACTATCTTTTTGATAGATGACATAATTGACCAATTCACTTAATTGAAACACATTATTCACATATGACAAAAGAGTTCCAACAAGAATTTTGGACATCTTGATCTTAAACCCACATTTTCCTACAAAACTAATATAATATTTCCGCTCTCATGAATCCAATACACCGTGTTTCATGGATTTAAGACAATAATGATTATAAGATGCACCACTATTTTATGTTCTATGCCTTGGTTGATATCTTGCCAACAGCAATAAGACACCACTGACTGTAAGATACAGTCCAACATCAAGCATGTTAAATGTGACAAATAATGAATATGCTAGAATCAACTTAATATGCAGTCAAAATCTATACATAAAGCATTTATTCCCCAATTTGATTATCAAAAGTAATGACTTTAATTGATGAACAAATCATCAATTTGTCATTAGCATTATGTAAAGAAAAAAATCTAATCAGCAATGTATTTATAGCAAAAGGAAAGAAAAAACTTGTAGTCTCTTACAGGTCATTTCCCGGGCAGTGGCAGGTTCACTGGTGAGGTCATACAGGACAGCCTGGACTGTGACTTCGTACTCAGTGTTGGGAAGGAGGTCAGACATCTGCACATCATTCACTGTTGGCCCCACACGCATCTGCAAATGAGGATGCCAAACAGAAATATGACACTCAAGTCAAGCGTCTCCACTGTGTAGGGACATCTGGTTGAATCACATGATATAACACAGCTTTATTTTTCTTTTACAAGGATTGAAATTCCTTTATCATTCCACTGTTTTGTCAAAATATCTTACAGGCTACCCAACTCCACTTCTGTGTTTCTCTATTTGTGTGTGAAGTAATAAATAAGAATATAAACAATCTCAGTAACACAAAGACTTCAGAAATACAAAGCATCAGGAATATTCAGTGGCTATATAAATACATAGGTTGACATATCTCACCTCCTTGGATTTTGTTGGTTCTGTGGTCTTAACAGGTTCATATGATACAGTGTACCCTGTGGCTCCTCCCACAGGCTGCCACTGCACACGCATGGTGGTAGGACCAATGTCATAAATATTCAGGCTGACTATAGGGACTGGCACTATCAAAACATAACAGAGACATTAGAGTAATTCCTTTCAGGTCACTTTTTACTAAGTGTTTCCTAATGTTATTCATATTAAAATATGCTAAATGGGGTGAGAAATCAATGCAACTCAATATAATCCTTCCCAAACCTCCCCCCCCCATCCAATCCTATAGTTCATTGCTCTTAGCACGCAGGACTACATAGTATAACCATTTGATAGGGAAAAAAATTTTTGGAATGCAAATAATATTACAGTGAGTCCATGTGGAAACAAAAATAGCCACAAACTTCCTGAGATTTAAATCTATTTTTCTGGAATATCATTAACTGCTTTTACACTTCAATCACAGAACTTCAGATATAATGATATTATAGTTCATGTTTCTTGAGGAAAATTATTGAAACAAGAGCTTCATACATTAGTAGGTGGAATTAGAAGATTTATGAGATATTTTTAAGAGAATTTCAAAGGTAGAGTAAAAAGTTTACAATCTTCACTGAAGACCCATATAGTTTTCAATAATTTTTTGTTTTGTGATTAAATTTAAAGTTTTCAGGAATCATCACATCACTCTTGCCAACTATAAAGCATATTATTTCTTGGTTTCTATAATTTAATATAATAGAATATAGGAAAGATAAGAGACTTAGGAACTAAGAAGAAAGTAGTCAGTTCTTGCCTTAGCAAGAGTAATGTTCATTCCTTCCTTTTAAAAAATGGCTTCCCTTCTTCTTCCTGGAGTCCAAGCAAGAAGCAAGAGGAAAGGAAGAACATCTCCCCCCCCCCAAAGCACCACTTACAATCAAAATCATTTGGAGCTTCTCCAGGGATAGTCAGAAAGAAAGGGATATCCCACTGCCAGTGGGACGATCCTGTACTACCGGAAATGAAACAGGCCATCTCTGCACAGCTCCTCTTCCTATGCCTGGGTCAGCCCCCACACATCACCTCTCCTCATCTACTTCTGAAGAGCTTCGCTCCTCAGTGAAATGTCACTATATCACAAGCACGCACTGGCTTGGTGTACTAGCTTCCTGAAAAGCATACATGAATTTTAAGAGATGTCCTGAAAGCAGGAAGCCTCAAGACACTAACAACTAAATAATACTGTTAAAGAGATTTTTCTCTCTAGACAAGAATGCTGTGATCAGCCATTCTATCAGCAGTGCCCATTGATGGCAGGAGCAGCCAAAAAGGAGAAAATTATTGGATATTTATTGAACACCTGCACAAAGAGGGCCTTAGGTAGACACGCTGGATAGAGATTCAGTGAGGACATTATCTGGAGAGATTAAAAAATAATTCCACATGGATCATTACCTCTTTACTCAGATAACAAAAGCTAGAGAAAGTTACATTTAGTTTGACTTACAGGTTTTTTCTGTGCCCTTTAGAGGCTCACTATATTCGTCTTCTACTACAGAATACACATTCACAACATACTCGGTCTCAGGCTTCAGATCTTTCAGCACTGTACTCGTTTCCAGTCGACTCACATAAAACTAAAGGGAGGATATAGCATAATAATAACTTCTATTATAATCAATTCCTTCTCTTCTACAATACTTACAAAGTAGTTAACTACAAAGAACTTAGAATAATTAAATGAGGCTGCTACTGCCTTCTGCTTTTGAAAACTACCAGATTACAGTGATATTTTGGACTACTCACATAACTTGTTCTCCCAGCTGTTGTTTTTCTTATTTGTAAAATGAGTGGGTAAAGCTAGACAACCTTTAATGCTCCTTTGAAAGTCTAATTCTACTACATAATCAAGAGCAAATCAGGCATCCCTTAATCACATTTTAATTAAAAGTCACGTTAACATTCTACAACTCATAAGAACTATAATATATGCAAAGTTCCTTCTCTCTAGTTAAGTTCAAATGGAAGCACCTGCCAACCATAGCAGAAACCACCATTCTGGACTGAGTTCTGCTTCACTTTACACTCCGTCTGCCCTTCACACATTTTTCTGAGTTCTAATGAGGAGAGCTCAGTCTCAGCAACGTAAAGGAGTGGATGTTGATGACGTCTACTCACTTCTTGATGCTTCCCTCCAGAAACTGGGTAGTATTCCACCTTATATCTATCCACACTGTCAGAAGGAGGCGTCCAGCTCACTCTAAAAGAACGATGAGTTCGCTCAGAGATAGCCAAATTGGAAGGTGCTTCCAAATCACCTACATATGGAAACAAAGTACATACACTTTTTTCAATATTATGGTGATTAAATTTGAATCTGAAACATTAATATCCTGATTACAAATTTTTACATCTTAAATACACTGAGTAGCTGCAATCAGCCAGTAGGAGGCCTTTTGCCCCTCAGACCTCTCTGAATGAGCAAAGCATTCTTCAGCCTCTAAAGATTCTAGCCTGAACTTATTCTTTCCTGAACACTTTTCCTCTTCTTAATTACACCAACAGATTGCCCGTCCCCTAGAGTCAAAGCTGACTCTGCTACACATTTGCAGATTTAAACAATAAGCAATGATGAGTCCTGACAACCCGGCCTCTCCATTATCTCTATGATTATTGGTACCATATAGGTTCACTTTCTGATTATCATCTTGATTACAGATATTAGCATTTTATTATACCTTATCATTTTATTAACATTTGATTGTCCATATTAACATCCTATCTCCATAAATGTAAAGATATCATCTGTGAGTACAGAATATGCTTCTTATTCATGTTTAGTTCCATTATAAAAACTAGGAAAGTAATAAGAAAAGCTAATCCCATTGACACTCAAAAGACAGTGAAAACAAGTATTTTAGAATGTGGGAACACCCAGAGCAAATATTTGAACAGCAACTAAGAAACCATTTAGAGCACCCACATTCAATATCAGAATGCTTTGATTCAGTTTCTGCTCCTCCGATTCCTACTTAGCATCCTGTTAGTTTACATTCTGGGAGAGAGAGCAACAGGCTCAAGTACCTGAATCATTACCAACCACAGGGAGGACGCAGACTGAGTTCCAGGCTCCTGCCTTCAGCTTGACCCTACTCTGAATGTGTAGGAAAATGGGTAGTAAACCAATTAATGGAACAGATATCTTTCTCTCTCTCTCCCTCTCTCCCACTGTATCTGGCTCTCTGCTCTCTCCCTTGGTGTCTGTCTTGCTCCCTTTGCTTTTCCAACAAAATTAAACTGAACAAATAAAAATGTTTTGAAATGTTAGGAAGATCTTATTGTTTGCAATCGTGTCGTCTGGGCACAGATACAGAAGAAATAACTAATATAACAATATCTAAAAATTAATACCAATGGAAATAGAAGTATTAAGTTCAATGGTACCAAACAAGAATGGACAAAACAGTAATTTAAAGAGAAAAGAATTTATCCAACGACTCCATGAACATAACAAATCATTCTCATATAAACTCTTCCAACTTTCTTTGTAAGTCAAAACTGAGGAGAGCATGGGCATTCCTAGCGTCTTAATTTGTATTGTCCTTGGGTCACAATCAACCTTAAAATTATCAACTAATTTTACTGTCTGGGAAACTAGGATGAATGCATCCATTACATGGCTGATTTTAAAAAAATGAAAACAGATAAAAGACATTTTCATCACCACTAAGAGTTCTTTCAGCCCGAACAAAACTACAACTCTCTCAGCTAATCCAAGCCAGGAGCCTACAAATTCTGGCTGTCTGGTTCATCTATTCTCCAGTGAAAAGGTCAGTTTCTTATTAAAAGTCCAAAAAAAGAAAATCTGTAACATCTTGGAGAAAGAAATTCAAGAAGAGGCATTCAAATAAATACATTCCCATCACTCAGAACATGTGAAACATTTCTGTTAAACATGTGAAACCATATCTGTTAAAGTCATTTCAACTTTTCCAAACTGGAATAAATTAATAAGGGATAATTTCTACCAAAATCTGCTCGTAACTGAAAGTAGATTTTCTTATAAAGATCAAAATTTTCATTATCAGTTTTTCAAAAACCTTCAGTTTGTTTATCAATCTTTACCCTATGATTTACAGACACAAATCCATCTTCACTCTCCTTTGTACTACAAATCTAACTTTATTTCTAAATCCTAATTTGCATGCAGAGCTATTTCAAAGACCCATAAAAACATCTTTAATCACATGACCCTTAATAAGTAATGACTTTTCTAGATCTCAGTTTCTTCATTGATAAAGAGAGATTATAATTTCTAAAGTTAAATCACTAAAAGTTTAACATCTGTTTTCATTTAGGAATTAGAACTGCAAAGTATCAAATTTCAACATCTACAGTTGAGGCAAAGAAAAATCTTTCATATCAGTGATTCAAAAAATAATTACAATAATACCAAATTTCAAAAAGCAAAAGTCTGAGCAAACCACCTAATGGAAACCTGCTAATTACAGTAGAGACATTGTATAAGAAAACATGTCTTCACTAAAAGTGAACGCATCCCTCCTTCTGTCTTCCACGATTTGTGTGTGCTGAGCGATATACACATAAACTAAATGTAGCTTCAAATAAACTAGAAGCCATTTGCTAGTATGGTGCTACCCCAGAAAAAGAAATTCAAGGGGGAAATCAGTACTTCTCAGTCAGGACCAGCTTCTTCCCTTGCCCTCAGCAAATATTCAGCAACATCTGAAGATATTTCAGCTGTCACAATTCAGGAACTATTACCAACATCTGGTAGACAGAGATAAGTAATTCAGCTAACCACTTCACAATGCACAAACCAGCATTCTCCTCAGCTCAAAATGGAATTCTCTAATCCAAAAGACTGATGCTGCCAAGTGTAGGAGACCCTGGGCAGCACTGACCTGGGCCTTTTACACTGTTGCACAAGTTAGTGGTAAGATCATCCACAATCCTGGAGAGGGACTCAAAATCTGCCACATTGTATGCATGCGTATCATCCGGGTCAGTGGCGATCATCTTCAACTCAACCTCATCAGCATTTTTAATACCTTGAAAAATGAAAACATACAAATTAAAAATATTTCTCAAAAATAAAAACAGGGGGGAAAAAAGCAGAATTTTAGTCTTCTAAGCACTAACTACTTAAGGCAAATGACCAAGAATTAAAATGTTACTAGCTGAAACATAAATATTATTTTTCCTCAATGACAAAATGAGTACTCATCTAGAGCCACAAAAGAGGAGCAGAGAATAACAGAAACTGAAATCTATCCTAAGCTGACTTCTTTCAGATGCTTCTTGCAGCAATTTCCCACCAAAAAGTGTCTGCTCAATGTTTTTTCTGGAAAGTAAAATGAAAAATATCAAAAATGAAATTGGTTCTGTGGAAAATAAAACAAGAATTTTCCTGAATCCTATTAATAATACATTTTTCCTCTTAATCCACTGCTTTGCTCCTTAAAAAGGGAGGTTGTGTCCCATCACAAGAAAAAAAATGAATCCGCTTCCTGGCACATCACTGTGATAAATAATCTGATAGGGAAGATATGCTTGTTTTTCTAGTCTTCTGATACTTTTCTAACTAAAAGAGATGTCCTTAGAACATGGTAACCCCAAAGATACTTCTCTCTTTTCGGGGCTCACCAATAGCAAACAGTTCCACGCCTTCATCCTTGAGTTTCTTTGAAGGTGCCTCAACATCATCCTGTGATTTTCCATCAGTAATGAGAACACCAATCTTGCGAGCACGAGGCCGCATTCCAGCTTGAGTTCTGAAGTTCTGTTGGCGGATGAAATTCAAAGCCATGCCTAGTGGGAGTTTTGGTTTATTTTTTAAAAAGAGAGAAAGAGAATCCATGACCTCACTGTTTAGCCACATGCTCTAACCCATAGCACAAGCTGAAAGAGTCCCAGGGTATCCTCACTCACCGGTGAGAGTATTGCCTCCTTTGTAGGGTAAATTTGCCACAGCTTGCAGCAAGCTCTTCTTGTCACGGTGAGTATTTAACTGCCATTCTGTTCTGGGGTCCCCACTGTACTGAGCAAGGGCTAAAACAACACCATTGGTATTAGTATATATATATAGTGAAAAGCACTTAACAAAAATGTCACAATGTCTTCAGTACTATCAGAATGAACCTACCAATCTGTACTCTTTTGGGGCCGATATCAAAGACCTCCACAATGCGAGAAATGAAACTTCTCACAGTTCTAAAGTTGGCCCGGCCGATGCTCCAGGATCCGTCCACCAGCAACACAATGTCTGCCTCTGCTCGGGTGATACACTCCATCCCTGGCACCACAATCAGGACACAAGACAGTAAACAGTTGTAAACAGTAAACAGTTGTTGGCAGGGTTCCTCCCTAGCCAGCCTCTGCTACTCAGATATTCAATATTGCCTAACTCAGTACTATGGCTCAGCTCCTTGTTTTGGAGCAGGAGACTCTGAAAATAGGCCTATATGATGTATTGGTCTCAAAAAACACTTTCACAGAGACTACCAATTTCTCACAGGATCATTTAGTGGCAAATCTCTTCATCTTTGCCTACATTTTCTGCTCACAGTCATAAAGCCTAGAGACTTGACTCAGACCATCATTGTAAATTGCATGGGCTCACATATTCAAGAGATGAAATCAATAATAGTATTTAGCTATCTTACTATAAGACTTGAATAAAATTTTAACTTAAAGATTAGATGTTGCATTCTTCTGTAATACTTCACAGTCATTAGCAGATAAGTATATAATGGACTGATAAGACATGTAAACTATAAATGGTTTCAATGAGCCACACTTTCTCTTAAAATAATGAAGTTCCTAGGCGATTCTCGCATATAGTATAAAGATTAAACATTTGTATCCTAAAATTAGACCTTCTTTAAAGAGAGGCATATTTTAAAACCTAATAAGAAAATAAAAACCTGATACAGCATTACATTATGTTATTATTAATTATTTAACTCTGCTATGTATAAAAATCAAGTCAATACAGATGGTGAAATAAGCACATTTAAAAAGCCAAGAAAGAAGGAAGACAATTTAGAAAAGTATGCAAACAAATACACAAAATGAGAGCTGTAGAGACAACAAGCACAAACACTGATACAAAGCTAGGGTGCTTTGGGGAGAGAAAACAATCCCAAATCCACAGTGTACAAGCTACAAAATAAAAATATAAGTTGGTTAATATCATCATAAGAAAATCAATGACATTAATGCAAAGCAGCAAGTTTTAGTGGTCATTTATTTTATCCACAACCATTTTTTTAAATGTTCCCTTTTCCAGGGACTTATTTCAGCATCTCATCATTACATCACAAAAAGGTCATTGACAAAACATTAGGAATGCTTATCAAATTACAATGTACCATGTGCCAGCATCTACCACCCATCCCATCAGGTATTTAGGTATCCCAAGTGTTATAACAAACAACTAAGTCTTAGCAAATCTGCTCCTACTCTGTCTACTCCTCCTGTTTCTTAGTTAATGATAAAAAAAATTTTTTTAGAAATAAACTCTGTCTCTAAGTATGTTAGAGACTAGTTTCATGTACATCAAGGCTGCAACCACATTAGGGCAGATCTAAGGAGCTTAACTTACTATTTTGCTTCTCAAGTTGTGGCTGCCCACTCTTTGATGTAACCTCACTTTGCTTGTCTGGCCTAAATAACTCATTGCTGCAATTACTTCAACAAAATAAAACTGCATCTAGTCACCTAAAACAAACAAAAAATATATACAACACCTTACACTTGGGAAAAATTCAGTATTAAATAACAATTTAATATGTAATAAATGTGATGCTGACAAGGAAGCCTTAAACAATTTCAAAAGTATGCTGATGAGATTCATGAAAGAGCTTCTTATTGAACATAAATATTATGTAAAAGTTTCATAATCACTTTTCATTATATAATCTAACAGTTCACATTTGAAATAATTTCACAGTGCTAAGTTTCCCTGGGGGAATATAACTCAGTTTCTTACCAGAGGATAAAAATGGCATTACAGTTGTGTCAGAAAGGGTAGTCATTTCTTGTCCAACAAGTGGTGAACTTTCTCCTCCATCAAACATTCCAAAAACATTTACTTTATAGGTGGTACCTGCCCTGGAATATTAAAGTTATATGACTTGAATGGGCCGCTGGTTCATGTGGTAGCATTTTTTCTTATTTCACTAGCATTTATTTTATTTCATTAAAATATTCACAAACATTCACTCAGAACTTCTAATGTACAACATTTTAAGAGAAGAAAAACATCTTCCCTCACATTCTAGTTTATGATGAGCCAGTGAGCATATCAGAGGACAGTGATGATTCCCAGCATCCACTGCCATCCTTCCAGTGAACAACTCTTACAACGCTCATCAATAGGCTTTGAGAAGATGGTTGAATTCTTGTACCTTGTGAGATAACGTAAGGCACCCAATACAATGCCTAGCGCGTTGTAAGTCCAGTAACTTCATTTTGCCCTACTCTGGTGAAAGTGGATGACAAGTATGGGTAAAGATCTCAATATTTTTGAGTGAGTGTCCCAACAAATAAACTGGCAAAGAGGCAATGCACAGTAGTCCATTCTTTTCATTGTAATGAATGAAGAGTGTTGTTCAAACTCAAACTTCCTTGTTTCCCACTGCAGGGCCTGAAGCTAAACCTTTAATCAGCTCAGCCTGACCTTCTCCTGTCAGCTGGCAGCAAGCACAAAGTCTTGCCTTCTCCCTCCCATGCATCCCACTGGAGAAGGACTCACACTTGAGATCTCAGCGTGAGTCAGCCAGTCCCTTCCAGAAGGCCTCACACTACCACATGGTTATATATTATGAATGCTAACTTTTAAGCATCAGGGTTTCTATTGAGAAAAAACACCATTCCTGATTGCCTAGTAGCAAAATTAAAATAAAAATTTTGCCCAGGCCTAAATACTGTTGCTAACCTCTTGGGTCCTAACCTCAACTACAGCGGCACCAAGAATGAAAAAGCAACTTTTGCTGAGTCTACATACCCTTGTGGCTGCAGACATATATGTAATTATTCAAGTAAGGCCTCTTAGTGCATAAGTTGCTCTATCTTGTAGCACAAGTGTGATTAATGCATACCTAAGTTCCTCCAAAACAACCGTGTTGTCATATGGTCCAACCACTAACTCCCCCAGTCTTCTGTCATCCCCTGTGGGGTGGAATGTGACTTTATAACCCTTCACTTCCCCAGGGGCTGGCTCCCAAGTCACTCGGAAGCTTGACATGGTTGGATCAGATGTTTTGAGGTTTCTGGGTGACTTAAATCGAGAAGCTGCAATGATAAAAACATTTTTAAAATATTAGCCATAAGATTAAACATTTGGAAATGTTCTATTAACTCCTACAAAAATGTGTATTTATATAATATGTTAATTCTGGTAGCACAAGATATCATGTCCTACAAAAGCACTGTTCACAGAGTGCTATACAAGTAGATATATAAATAAATCTCAGAATTCCAACCAAGTTAGCAGTAGAACATTAATCCACAGGATGATTTGGCTGGGAACCACATTGATAAAGAAAAAAGAAATCATGCATACCACTTAATAATTACAATCTGTTATGGAATCAATTTTAAACATTTACAAAGGAAGTACATACATTAAAATCTTTTAAGGAATTATATAGTTTCTCCCATAAAAACTTCAGTTTTTTGTTTTTACCTGTTGTTCCTGATCCTTGCCTGATCTTTCCTTCCCCAGTCTTGTATATCGGGAGAACTGTAATGTCATAGGTGGTCTGGGGTTGAAGTCGCTTTAACACTGTTGAAGTGACTGTGGGTGGCACCTTAGCAACCATTTGCCTCCCTCCTCCTTGGGGGCGATACATAACACGGTAATTGACCACTTTCCCTGGTGCTGGCTTCCATGTAACTCTCATTGTGTTTTCTGTTTCTTCATCTACTTTCAAGGTTTTGGAGTCTCGGGACACTGTAAAATAAAAGGAAATTTTCAAACTTTCCTTACTACATCGAAAGAAATTACATGTGTCCAACTGCTTGTGTATGTGAAAAGCTAACTGTGTTTCTATAAGTAGTTCATTCTTATTCAGCACTTTCATTTCTCATAAGCTCATAATCTCAGTGGCATCTAAGTAAGACTCTCTTTTCATCCTGCTCAGTCTGAAAAATGGAAGTTCATATTGCAGGGATTTCCTGTTTGCATGATAGCGACTTTTGTGAAGAAAATAATCATTTCCAGAGATAAAGTTTTAGAATTTTTCATTTATTTTCATCTATAAAGAATTACCCCAGAGGTAGTATTATTTTTCTGATACATAATTAGGGCTTATACGCACAAAAATTCAGAATATCAAAATCATGAATGCATAGTTAGATATTTTACTCATGTCTTTTACAAAAAGTTGCAATACATAACCAAACAAGTACTATAGAGTTTCTATTTGTGATTGACTTAAACATATACTATGAACAAAAAACAACTTCCAATACAAGAAAATATCTCAAGGGCAGAAAGGATATATTAGCATATACGGAATATTTGAAGAACTACATTTTCAATAGCACTTGAAAGAGTCAGCAGGATAGCATAGTAAGTTAATCCTCTATCTGTGGCCCCAATAACCCATTTGGGTGCTGATGCTAGTCCCAACTGCTATACTTCCAATCTAGCTTCCTGCTAATGGCCTGGAAAATCAATGTAGGTTGGCCCAAGGCCTTGGGCCCCTATTCTCCTGTTGGAGACCCAGATGAAGCCCCTGATTCCCAGATTCAGACAAGCTCAGCTTTGGCCACTCTGGCCATTTAGGAAGTAAAGCAGCAGATAGAAGATCTCTCTCTCTCTTTCTCTTTCTTTATCTTTCTTTCCCCCTACCTCTCTCTGTGACTATGACTTTCAAGTAAAAATAAATAAATCTTAAAAATAAACACATAATAGTACTTGGCAAATATGTAACCAGTAGCATTTATTCAGGTAATTAAGTTAACATCTATTAAAAAACAGATCACCAAACATCCATAAATAGAGGTAGTATTATTTTTCTGATACATAATTAGGGCTTATACGCACAAAAATTCAATTCATTTTAATAATGCTGACATTCAAAAGTACATAGCATTTTCTTTGATAAGAGTTTAAGCAAAAAAAAAAAAAAAAAACTTTGAAAGTTAGCTCCAGCCATTGCAGTCTTTTAGAGAGTAAACCAGTGAGTGTCAGATCTCTCTCTCTCTCTCTCTACTTGTCTCTCTCTCTGCCCCTCTCTGTGTAAAGGCTGCCTATCAAATAAATCAATCTTTAAAAAAAATAAAATTAACAAGGACTCTTTCATGATTTTGAAAGAAATGCTCATGTTCAATAGGGAAGAGCATCTAAACTGAAAACCCTGCCAGAAGTGAGAGGGCCGAGAACTCAAACAAAACAAAACAGTCACAAAACAAGAAAGAGTAAGGTCCAGACACAATCAGTGATCCCTGAGACATGAGAGTCCAATGAAGGCAGTCTCCATGACTGACAGCTTTGTGCCTCTGGAGAATTTCAACGGCTCCATGCAAAAAGGGGAATCCAGTTGATTCTCAGTGGCTTGTCCTAATTGAAGAAATAGTGTTGCTCATGTAGGGCGTCTAAGGCAACTGGAACTTACAGAATATTCTTATGCAGAAGTACTAGAAAGAAAAAAAAACTCCAAAAACATTCAAAAAGTCCCTCTTGAGTCTTTAACCCAGTATTAGCACATATGCGTGAGCAAACGACCCGAAGTCAGGGTAAGAACCACCTAAAAGGGACAGAGGTAACACTTTCTGGAGCCCATGTAGAGCCTGAAATATTGCTCTTGGTCAGGAGACAAAACCTGACAACTCTCGGGCCTTCAGCAAACTTTCAGAAGTTGTTGACTCAATAATGGGGAAAATTTAACCCTAAACTGAAATAAAACTTAACAGCAAGCTTCAGAAAGAGCAAACAATTTACAGTTAAATTAACTATGTCTCTGAAAATGTTTACAAATTTTTATTAAAAACATGCAGCACTCAACACAATAAAAACCCATAATGCCTAGCATCTAATGAAAAATACAAGGCATATCATGAAGAAAAACCCCAAACTCATGTTATATATTGAATCCCATTAATATTTGTATGTTCAGACATTAACCTTCACTGGAGTGTGGAAATGGTATCTGTGGGGTGACAATTAGAGTTAAACGAAGTTGTAGCAGTAGCATAATCAAATGGAACTGGCATAGTTATAAGAGAAGGAAGAAATGCCAGGGAACACTCTCATAGGTGCCTATGTGTTTCTTGCTCTGTCTCTCTCGCTCTCTTCTCCTCTTCATCTTCCTCTTCCTGTGTATTATATTCTGCCTTTTAATTAATTCTTTACAATAAAAGAATTGAAGTTAGATAAGATATAGCATATCTTATCCTAGTTTAATGAGAAACTGAGTATCAGGGAGGGAAAATAAAGGCAATTGAATTTCCATGATTAAAAAGCAATATTTTTCAATCCATTGATGGGTAATCCAAATGCTATAAAATGCCATAACACCCTCTCAAACACAGTGTAAGTTCTTTCTGTGTTTTGATATCACTTAGAATGAATCTCAGACATCCACTGGTACTGCCGTATTGGAATGGGCAACGGAATGTTTCCGCTCTGTGACTCTAACCCAAGATTTAGTTTCAGGTGAAAGCAATGCTAAAGACCTTCCTAAATGGTCTTTGGAAGGTTGGAAACATACATAATATACATATGTTTCTCATGTACCCTTCCCAATTCCCAACACACCCACAGTTTCCCAGCCCTTTGTACTCTCTTTTTCTTCTTAACATCTCCTACAAAGTGATTCGTTTGTAATAATTGTGTAGCCTATATTGGCACATCATTGTCACTAAAATGTTTTCTTCAGAAGCAGAATTGGGAAGCCTTAACCTATTCTCCACAATCAGATGATTGATCATTCATAATCATTCAGAAGAGAGCATATGAGTGAAACAAACGGAAATTCAAGACACCAGAAAATACACCAAACTTTTGAATTAACTTTACCAAATATAACAGGATATAATTTTAAAAACCTAAAGTTAGTCTTAGTTATATGATAATCAAAACCTCAATAACCACTCATCATTTATAAAATCATCTCAAGGCACAATACTTGGTACTTCACAAATATTATTTCATTTAATCCTCATGACAATACTAAAAGCTAAGATCATCTGTATTCTGGGAAAGTGAGGTTAAAAGAAAGTCACTTAATTTAACCAAGGTCATGCAACTATAAATGTGCTTGAATTCTCTTTGTGTCCATGGGGTGTCCTATGTAGATGACCATTCCACTATGGAGGTGGAAGAAAAAATGGAAAATATAGGCACTTGGAAGGGATTCAGTATTTCCAAATCTGATCCATTATTTAGATATGAACACAATCCTAATTTAAACTATAGTCTATAAAAATCCTAATTTTTTATTTACATTAATCATATAAAGAATGAAAGTTGAGTGGGTTCAACTGTATGTCACCTGATCTGACAGCTATTAGTTAGCACATATGCAAATCATGCACACCCATGGAGTCACCTACATCCAGTTGTGGCATCTCCAGTCAAAGGTGCTCCTTCTCCACTGCTGTAAGTTGCAAAAACTGAGATTTTGTATTTGGTCTCTGGCTGCAGGTTTTCAATTACAGTATGAAGTGCATCTCCAGGAAGATTTTTCTCTCCCGCCTCAACATCATCATAAAGTGATTTCCATGAGACTCTGTAACCACGAACCATTCCTGGAGCAGATGTCCAATAAGCCCCAATTGAAGTGTCAGTGATGTCTTTAGTAATCAAATCTTGAGGGGACCCACGTTCTAGGATAGAAATCAGAGAGCAATTATTTTTATAGATATTTTAAGCATTCATTCATCCTGGCAGACATCTTGACTTGCTGGTCTCAGACTCAATTTTATGAAACTATTCATTCCTTCTTTCTGAGCTATTTGATCTGTTGTATCAGTGGAACAGAATGAAGGAAAAAAAACTCAAAAATTATACTTCATTCATACCCTTGAGATTCACCTCCCTATGCCTGGCCGCATTAAAGAAATCTTCAGGACAAAGATAATAGCCAAATTTGAAGCAGTGCATGCCTTGAAATTTTTTCCAAAGGAAAAAATGCATCTAAATCTCCCAAAACTTTCACGTTTCAGTCAGTTGTACGACTTAATTCTTTGTTGATAAAGATCTTAATTTCCTTACTATAATCCTTCCCCCTATAATTCAAATAAGTTTATTTTTAATAAACCAACATAATTTACAAAACTGAGACTATCTTTTATCTCTTACAGATGTCAAGTCCACCATTTTCTGAAGAAACTTTGATTTGTAATGAAAAAGAACCAGAATTTCAAAATTTTCATATAACCCTAACAAAACTAAAAACTACTAATTATTCTAGAAAATGTAAAAGCTATTAATCATCAAAATAAAACACACCACTTGTTCTAGCTGATTGAAAATGTCTGCTATTCCACCAAAAAAAAAAAAAAAAAGAAAAGAAAAAAGAAAATGTCTGCTACTAAATTTTGGCTGCTTCACTTAAAAAAAAATACAACCCAAATGGAAAAACATGGAAACCTCAACTTAATAGGAGGCACAGATATCTTGCAATAAAACTTTAATTTCTATATTTTCAACTTAAGATAAATATACACGTCATTTATATTGGCTACTTTTACCAGGGTTTGTACCACTATATAGTATAAACACAGAGCTATGTGCTTCCTTAGCATATATTTTACCAGTAACTATTGTATATTCATGTTAATTAATATCTAATAACAACACAAGAACTAGAAGAAAAATTCTTGCCAGAGTACTGAAGGTTATTTTTAATTTGAATCACAGATTCAAAATGAGCAACTTTAAACTAGTCACAAACAATTTCAGTGCAAACAAAGAAACCAATTAATGAAAAAGAAATCTAGGTGGACAAAAACCTATCATATATGGCTGATTTCAGAGGGGAAAAAAAAATAAGCAAACAGGAGCTGGCTAACCTACCAGACCTCAAGCCCAAATGGAAAAATTTTAATTCCATTATAAATAACTTCAACTGCTGACAGGGCATCTCCTATTTGGAAGAAAATCAGTTACATATTTCACTGCAACCAAGAATACTTATTTTCAAGAACATACTGACTGTTTTTCCTCAGTACTCAAGGATGATTCTTCTTTTAAATGCTTTTTTAGGTGTATTTGCTGTTTTAATGCCCATGGACCTTCATAACTTCTCAACTTGAAAAAATATAAAAGTACAATTTCAAGCTGTTTGTTCCTTTTGTTTGATCTAGTGGTTGGGGTGTTTGTGTTCCTGATTTTGTTTTGCTTTGAACATTTAGATCCCACCAACCAGTCTCTAACTTTTAAGTGTACAGCATTTTCCTTGATTCGATGTGCACTATTTTTCCATATGTGTGTCTTCTCCTAAATTTCCTAAATTGCAGTCAGGAATGACTGGGTAAAATGACTTTACTTGAAAACAACTTAAACTTAAGTAAACTAATTATCACATTAAGAATATTGCAAAAATGTGCAAGACAAATAAAACTAGCTAGACTGTAAGAAAATTATCTTCCAAATTAACACTGCGATAATTTACAAGCAGTAATTTCAGCTTCTACTTTTCTTAAAAGTTACGATTCCCAGCCTAATTATCCCATTCTTTCTACAGCACTGAATTTATGACATTGTTTTTTTCCATGACAACAGACATCAATCTGACAAACACAAGTTAATGATTTCATTATGAGAAAAATAATAAGAGAACTGTGGCCGAAGCAAAAGCACATTCACAAAGACTTTTCTGGGCTTAAAACAAAAAAATCCTCCATCACTGGACATGTCAAATCCACGGGCTTTAATCAGCTATTTTAACTAAAAACTAGGACAAAATGTCAGCAAAATTATACCTTAAAAAAATTAATGCCTTGAAAACAATTCACAAAAGCTCTTTTTTAGGTAGCAAATTAGGGCCAGCATTGTGGGACAGTGCATTAAGCTTCCATCTGCAATACTGGCCTCCTTTATGAACAACCCTTCAAATCCTGATTGCTTCACCTCAAATTCAGCTTGGTAATCAGCCTGGGAAAGAAGCAGAAGATGGCCCTAGTGGTTGGCCAAATGACATGGGAGACCCAGAAGAGCTTTAGGCTCCTGCTCTACAGCCATCTGGAGAATAAACCAGGGCCTAGAAGATCCCCCACCCTCTCCCTCTCTCTTTGTGACACGGCCTTTCAAGTGAGTATATCTTTTCTTTATAAAATGAAAATAAGGTAGCACTATAAAGACAAATTATTGAGTTCTACTTAGCAGTACAGCATTAATTTGAATAAATTCAACCATAACAAAGCTTCTAAAAAGCATAGCTTCTGTCTATGGTGTGTAGAGACATAATTTGCAGACACATCACAACATTCCACATTGGTGGCCAAGAAATGCAGACTGCAGACAAGGAAGACAGACACTTCAATCAAGAAGCAACAATTGGAAAGGCAAATGGCTTGACACAGGTTTCTCATTTATCAAACAGTTTGGTAAGAATATTCCTAAACATTAAGTTTATGCTGCTCACCCACACACACATACACTTAAAATTTTTTAAGATTATTTACTTGAAAGACAGAATGACATGAGGATTAGAAAGGACAAAGACAGAGATTTTCCAACTACTGGTTCACTCCCTCAAGTACCTGCATCAGTTGGGTCTGGACCAGGCCAAAGTCAGAAGTTCCATCAGGACCTCCCACACTGTTGGCAGGAACCCAAAAACTTGGGCTACTTCCCAAGGTGTGCATTAGCAAGAAACTGGATAGGAAGCGTGGATTAGCCAAGACTTAAACTGGTCGCCACATATGCAATCTGGGTGTCCCAGGCAGGATCTTAACACAGCACCACAAAACCTGCCCATGATAAACATTTTTCCAAAAGAAACCAGGAGAGTTGCATTACCTTCCAAAATGGCAAAATGGTGTTAAAAAAAAATGGTGTACAAATGACAAGTAAGTTTTATTAAACCTGTCATCTTAATTTGGCCAAATATCAGAACACCAGAAAGTAAAACAACTGCTTGACAGAAGTGGCCTACCTATTTACATGCAGGCTAGCAAACGACCAAACTAGTCCTGGGAGTAGGAGTGCAACCAGGCCATCAGCAGACTGTCAGCTCTGAAGACCTGGTCCTCCACAGTAAAGTAACTGGACTGGGCCTGACTGAAGGCATAGAATCCCCCAGAGAGCTGAAGGGTATCGCTGTCCCAAATCACCAAAATCAGACACCTAGGGCTGTGCCTAACTACTAAACTTCTTTCAAATTTTACTGGGATCCTGATTTCTCTGCAATCATTTACTCTTCCCCTAGATCTTTTCTCTTTATCCAACTACTTCTCTCTGATGCCTACAGAAGCGTTAATTTGGAAGATGTGGTTCGTCAGCAGAAGAAAGAACTCACATTTGCTTTCATTCATAAGTGAAAATATGCCTTAATATATGCTTTTACAAACAAATATTCAGCCTCAAGCCTCCAAACATAAAAAAAATTAAAGATAGTGAAGCATTAATTGACCTGACTTGATCAGAACACATTGTTCACAGTTCTTGAAACATAGAGCTAAAAGCCATTTTTTTTAAAAGCTACAAGAGTTAGAAATGCTAATGAATCTCATGTCATCATCACACCTTAAACACAAGTATGGAATTATTACATTGTACTCCCTAAGTAGGTACAGTTTTAAAATAATTTAAAAAGAAAGAAATCTGCCTCCTTTAAAATAATGGCAGATATGGTGGAAGTAAAACTGGTCAGAATTACTGGACAGCATGCTACCCTACAGGAATGTCTAAATGTTGACATGTTGAATAGTTTTGAGTATTTCCAAGTACAATATACCATTCTTTGGTGTAAGGGAATAATCTCAAGTCTGTCACTCTAACACTAGTGAACTGTATTTAAGCTTCTCATCCTATCTGCTCCATCAACATACGTAGGTGGTCCACTGCTCTCAACACATGCTTTCTATTGAAAGCTGATTTTATTATTGTGTGAATGTATTTTAATGAACGTGTTAGCTAGCCAGGGATTTGTCTATTTTAGTATATTGCCGCTTTTTCATCCTCCTAAGGAATTCCAGGCATTAACAACCATAGCAAGAGGTCATCTGAGTTGTTTGGACTTAATTTGGTTAGAATGAGATTGGGCAAAACGCACTTTTTCTACACACCTGAGAGGGAAGAAGACAGACAAAGAAAGCAATAAGAAAGAAAAACAGTCTAAAGGATGATCTGAAGACCCTCTCCAGAAAGACCCCTGCACCTCAAAGTAGAAATAGAATAACCACCCACAGCAGACTTTTGCCACTTTGTCATTTTCTTTGTCTACACATAGATATACCTCTGCTCTAGCAGTAGTCCTACCTCTCTGAGTTCCTTTGCTCCTGTCCCAAGACACAAGTGTGCATTTTGTGCTGCTGGGATCTGTCAGATTTTACCTAGGTGACATGGTTTACAATATTATTTAACCTCAAACTACTTAATCTCTCCTGAACTATATACCTTTGTCTTGCATATCACTTTTATCTCTATTAATAGAGATAATCTTCCAAAATGATGGTATACTTCATTTTTATTTCTTTGATTTCCTCTCAAGAGTTTTCCATATATTCTCTTCTTCCCAAACAGTACTACTAAGAAATAACAACATGCACATTTATCATAAATTTAAAAGTGCAAAATTATATCAGGCTTTACATTTTGGCATGTCGCACTTCTGTCCTAACTATAAGACATATATGCCAAAGGCATTTTTCTCATGCTG